GGAAGTGGCTCCATCCACTTGTCAGAGGACAGTGGCTTCCAAATTGATGACTACACAGGAGTCTGGATGAAGCAGGACCCTGCTCAGCCCCGAGGCTCTACTGCAGGACTCTGTTCCCACTGCTCCCCCTGACACCAGACCGATACTGAGATTAAGGGTCAGCTTGGCCCTCCTGGGGATGTGCTGGCCTAGGAAGGGAAGAGGAAACTAATATGTCCTGGTGGGAACCAGAAGAGTGAGCTTGGGGTGAGCCTCCAGGGGCCGGATCACGTGGTGGAATATAGCGCTGAGTGAGGAAGAGCTGGTCAGCACAGGGCTCTCAGCACCAAGCACCCGGTTCTCAGCACACTTGCAAAGCCCGGGACACTGGTAGTAGCGCATGCTGGGAGAGGGGGACCTAGAAGGTTGGAAGCCCCACGTTAACAGAAGCAAAGATGCCAGAAGGGCTGTGGCAGGGAGTGGAAGAGGGGTCGAGCCTGGAGAATTGAGGGAGCTGAAATGGAACTGTTATATTCGACCTGAAAACCCAGCACATGTGTATGACCCTTGGGACATCCTGGAGGCCACTCCATGTGTAATGAAAACAAGAAATGTGCTGGGTAGGGGGACGTGAGCATTGCCTTAGTCAGGCTGCATAGAGCCTTTCTGTCTGCTCTGGGTTCAAGGTAGGGGTGCCATCCCGTCCGTAGGATCCAGGGGTGGGTGGAATTCCAGAACAGCGGGGGCAGGTGGAGACACTTACCAACCTGGGGCAAGGTGAGCATCATCACAGACTAGGTAGCAAGTTCTGAGGGCACCGACCTTGGGGGCCAGCAGTGAGGACTATTAGAAGAAGAGGCAGGCTCAGGACCTGGACGCAAGAGACCTGGCTTGATAGTCGTATCCTTGGCTCTGGGAAACGAAGGAGAAGCGGACACCCCAGCAATGTGCACGGTTCGTGTTCCAGCCGTCTGGGCTGAGGGGTGACGTGACCACACTGGAGACGAGCATGTGGAGCCTCTGAAACCGGCCTCTGCTTCACCAGGAGAGTAAACCAGAAACACCAGTCCCATCTGCTGAGAACGCCAGGAATTAGCGCCACCCTCCCAGACCTGAAGGTCACAGGCTGGGGGTCCCAGCATATCTGCCCTTCCCTTGCCATGACAACAGGCTGCTGAGAACCTACCCAGGGAGCAGCCACAGGGCAGCCTCAGAGTCCACTGTGACGACTTTGGGGGAGTCAATGAACACAAACTGGTGTGTCATTCCGGCCCAGAAGGAGGAGTAGGCAGACACACTGTGCCTCCTCGCACAACCAAAAGAAGGGCAACGACACATTTAAACACAACCAGAACTGACAGAAAATGGAACTGTAGGGAAGTCTGACAACCAAGGAGTTCAAGAAGAGATGTTCATCCAGACTCATAGGAGGGGCAGAGATGGGCAGCCGAGTGGAGAGGACTCTCAGCAAGGCAGCGAGGCTGGGGGGACCTGGTTGAGGTGGCAGCGGGCAGACCAGGCAGTCCAACATTCACATACAGAGAATCCGGGAGGAAAAACCGGGAGGAACAAGAGAGACCACCCAACCCAGTGCCCCAGCTCGGGGAAATTAAGCCTCAAACCACTGATTGAAATCACCTGTGGGGTTGAGGCAGCAGCAGGAGAAACTCCCAGCCTCACAGGAGAGTTCAGTGGAGAGACCCACAGGGTCCTAGAAGGAATACAAATCCACCCACCTGGGAATCAGCACCAGAGGGCCTCAGTTTGCTTGTGGGAAGCAGAGAAAGTGACTGAAATTCAGCAGAGAGCGGAGCAAGCACCACTGTTCCCCCTCGGACCCCCTCGCCCTCACACAGCATCACAACACAGAGACCTGGGTTGCCCCATTCTGGTGAACATTTGGGGCTCCGCCCCTCACCTCCTAACAGGCAGGTCAAGAGAAAAATGTTAAAAGGCTCAAATGAAAGAACAGATTAAAGCTCCAGAAAAAATACGACTAAGTGATGAAGAGATAGCCAACCTATCAAATGCACAGTTCAAAACACTTGTAATCAGGATGCTCTCAGAGTTGGTTGAATTTGGTCACAAATTAGATGAAAAAATGAAGGTTACACTAAGTGAAATAAAAGAAAATGTGCAGGGAACCAATAGTGATGGGAAGGAAACTGGGACTCAGATCAACGGTGTGGACCAGAAGGAAGAAAGAAACAACCAAACAGAACAGAGTGAAGAAACAAGAATTAAAAAAAAACGAGGAGAGGCTTAGGAACCTCCAGGACATCTTTAAACGTCCCAACATCCGAATTATAGGGGTACCAGAGGGGAAGAGGAACAGCCACAAGTGGAGAACTTATTTGAACAAATAATAAAGGAGAACTTCCCCAATCTGGCAAAGGAAATAGACTTCCAGGAAGTGCAGGAAGCTCAGAGAGTCCCAAAGAAGTTGGACCCAAGGAGGAACACACCAAGGCACACCATCATTACATTAGCCAAGATTAAAATGAAGGAGAAAATCCTAGAAGCAGCAAGAGAAAAGGAGACAATCACCTACCAAAGTGTTCCCATCAGACTGTCAGCTGATTTCTCAAAAGAGACCTTACAGGCGAGAAGGGGCTGAAAAGAAGTATTCCAAGTCATGAAAGGCAAGGACCTACATCCAAGATTGCTCTATCCAGCAAAGCTTTCATTTAGAATGGAAGGGCAGATAAAGTGCTTCTCAGACAGGGTCAAGTTCAAGGAATTCATCCTCACCAAGCCCTTATTATATGAAATGTTAAAGGGACTTATCTAAGAAAAAGAAGATAAAAAACATGTAAAGTAAAATGACAGCAAACTCACAATCATTAACAACCACACCTAAACCAAAAACAAACTAAGCAAACAACTAGAGGAAGAACAGAACCACAGAAATGGAGATCACATGGAGGGTTATCAACAGGGGAGTGGGAGGAGGAGAAGGGGAGAAGAGGTACAGAGAACAAGTAGCATAGATGGTAGGTGGAAAATAGACAGGGGGAGGGCAAGAATAGTATAGGAAATGTAGAAACCAAAGAACTTATATGTACGACCCATGGACATGAACTAAAGGGGGGAATGTGGGTGGGAGGGGGTGTGCAGGATGTAGGGTTGTGAAGGGAGAGAAATGGGACAACTGTAATAGCATAATCAATAAAATATATTAAACACAAACAAAAATCCCCGTGGTGTGTCATGTGACCTGGCCAATGCCTCCTTTTCAATGCCCCCCGGGAAGGAGGAACACGGGCAGGCACAGTCCCATAGTCTGCAGCGCCATGCACTCTCTAGGTCCGGTCCCAGGACTGCTCCCTTCCCCTCCTCCGTCGCAGTGCAGTGTGAAGGCGCCTGTGCTGTCTGGATGCTGCTCAGAGCTTCGTTCGTCCACTGTGCTGGTGCTGCCCTATCCATGGACTTGGCAACGAGAGACAAGCAACTGCATGTGCCCTAGAGACTGGGTGCCAGGCCCGACCCAGATTCAGAGACCTGACGAGTCCCCAGTTTCAAGGTCCGTGGTCTGGCCCATGGCGGACATGACCTTCAAGGCAAAGGGCGAGTAACATATCTTGCATTTCGCAACGCCTGCTTCTAACTGACCTTTCAGTGAGAACTCAGGGTCAGCAGGTGTGGGTGAGAAGCGGGACCAGAAATGGAAAAGAGGTTGGAGCATTTCCCCAAACTCATGGGGGCTGGCGTGCCCCCCAAATGTCTGTGGGCAGGCTTCAACCAGAGAACAAAAGTCCAGGCGGTTCTTCAGGTCTGTGGAACAGGAAGGCCTGGCAGCGGGAGCTGGGGCTGGACACAGCTCCCGTCCTCTCCACTCCGGAGTTTGACAGGGCCTCTCTGCCCGCTCACCTGAAAACACAGCTAAGTCAAGAAGAGATGGAGGACTCTGCATGTTGACACAGTAAAGCACAAGCGTTGTGCACATTGATTTGCTCCCACTCGCTCAGAGAGCTCAGCCAGTGCTGTTGCGGGTCAGTTAAGACCAGATAACCAAGAAACGTCCGACACTGAGGAAGGCCTGTGATGCAGAGGAGAAGGAGCGAACCAAAGCAAACTAAGACAGAACGCACAGTCAAGAGATGTAATTCAGGGAACGGAAAAAGGTGAAAACGTCAGCAATCAGAGAACTAAAATAGGGGGCCTTTGCAAAAATATATCACCTCTAAAATAGTTCATCTGAGGGTTGGAGGAAAAAGCAAAAACACAAAACAGAAACCTCCTGAAGGCAGAACAAAATTCACAAATATGGAAAACATATTAAAACAGAGACACAAAGGATTCATTTGGAGAGAAAGTGGACAGGTGACAGAGAAGGAGAGAGGGGACCTTCTGAAGGAAGAGGGGGGAGGTGAGGGACAGTCACTGAGGGGTCATTGGAATAATCAGTTTCCATGCAAGCTGGTTTGCCAAGAGCCCACAGCCGGTGAAATACGCAAAGATTTGGTGGGAAAACCCATCTCAGACAAAATGAGAATGAAGGGAAAAGGCCATTTGTCTTTTATCGTGTCCCCACTTCAGGGTGGTCTCTGCTTGAGGGTGACCCACGACTGGGAGGAAGCTGTCCTGAGGGAGGGGCAGGGGACAGGGCAGGAAGGGGTCTGAGCCACCCTGCAGAGGGGCTGCCTGGAGGTGGGTTGGGGACGGGACTGCTCCTGCTGCCAGGCTGGGGGTCAGCCCTGAGCCCTGTGTCCTTCCCAAGTGCACACCCAGCGTGTCATCCTGGATCCCTGGGACCTGAGCCCTGAGCTCCTCTGTGTGGCCCCACCGCAGGTCCTGCCCCAGGTGCTGGCCCCACCTTCTCAGCTCCTCCCACTCCCGGGGGCAAGGGGAGCCCTGGCCAGGCCTGGACGATTGGCCTCATCCCAGTCATTGAAGACACATCAGGGGATACTTATAAATGATGACACTGCTTTTGTCCTAATTAATGAAATGAGGAAGTAACTGTGGAAAACCAAAAAGGGAAGTAGAGGAGAGAGAAAAAATAGAATGATTCAGACAAATCAAAAGCAGTTCCCCTCTGGACTCCGTTCAGTCCTGGAGGTCCCCAGCATTTGTCGGTCCCCAGGGAGGGAACTCGGAGCGGGGACCATGTGGCTGTTCCCACCTCTGCTCCTGCTCCTTGTCCCAGGTGAGTGGGGGCAGGGGGCGCTTTGGGAACTCGAATGACTGAGGTGGGAGAAGAAACCCAAGGGTCTGTCCAGGGGCAGTGAGGGCTCCCCCCCGCCCCCCCCTCATTGCCAGAGGCTTCACTACATCCCAGGGTGTGTCACTGAGGCTTGGTGGCCACTGTCATTTTTCATTGTGTTCGAAGTGTTGTTTCTCTTACAGTAAAGAAACATTTCTCTGAATCCTGACTCTTTCAAAGATGAGGAAAAGTTTTAGAAAGACCCAGAACACATATAATGAGAAAAGCTTTGCTCAATCGCACTGGCCTTCCCGTAAAGCGACAGTAGCCAGGGCAGCCTGTGTCTGCAGGAGAGACAAAGGGTCAGTGTGTCATAAAGGACAGTCCCTAAAGAACCTCCATATTTACTTTTTGACAAAAAATCAAAGTAATTCAATGGAAAATATGGGATTGTGTAATGTGGGTTCCACAGTTGGTGTCACCACTTTGGTCAATTTCAAAGGTGCCCCTGTGGGGGGCGGGGCTCACGATGGAACCACTGGGGCCATCAGAACCACCTGGGCCTTCCTCTGCACAGCCAGGTGCGAACAGTGCTCCAGCCAGGCCTCCGAGGTCACAGGCACAGGTCAGACCCTCCTGTGAACACGGGTCCTCTGCCGCTTCCTCCCCAGGAGACCAGTTTAGCACAGACGTGGGTGACAAGGGACATTGAGGAGACACAAGGATTTCTTGGCCACAGGAAGGGGACAGGTGATTTGTCAGAAGCTGTTACTGCTCAGTGTCCCCATTGTGTCTCTGAGACCTGGGTCTGTGCTCTTAGGGGACTTTGGAGGCGCCTGTGACGCAGTGGAAATCTGAAGGACAAAGGTCTGTCTCGAGGAAGGTGATTCCTCCCTGGACTCTGTGCCTGTCACTGGGCAGGTGGACTGACTGGGACTGTCACTGTGCAGGAGGCTGTGGCTCTGCCCTCAGTGTGGGGGTGGGGAAGGTGACAGGCACATGGGTTTGTGTTTTCCAGGCTCAGCAGCAGTCATCACGGCTCCAGAAGAAGTGACTGGCCCTGAGCGGGGCTCGCTGACCGTGCAGTGTCACTATGGCCCCGGGTGGGAGCCCTACGTGAAGTACTGGTGTCGAGGATCTGAGTGGAATCATTGTGACATTCTTGTTCGAACCACGGGATCAGAGTGGGAGGTGAAGGAGGACCGTGCGTCCATCAAGGACAATCAGACTAGCCTTACCTTCACCGTGACCCTGGAGAAGCTCAGGCGGGAGGATACAGACACTTACTGGTGTGGGATTGAGAAAAGTGGATCTGACCATGGGATCCCAGTTAAAGTGGCCGTTGGCTCAGGTAAGAGAGTGTGTGTGCGCGGCTTTGTGACTTCAGGGTCTGCTCTGTCCTGGTCCCCGAGGTCCCTGTCCAGGGACTGAGCTCACTCAGAGGGAACTGTCACAGAGGGTGGTTGAGTCCTGAGGTCTTTTGGGACTCACTCCTCACGTGGACTCAGGGGCAGGGAGTCTCTTAGGGTCTCTCTGGCTCCGGTGGCTCCTCCTGGACGGGCCAGGCCTCTCTGGGCAACTGAGTTCCTCTGCCCAGCTCCATACCTGACCTGTTGCCCAGAGAGATCACAGTGATGGCTCCCGGTTCAGCCCAGGGGCCATCGGGACCCTCCTTGGTGGGACCCAGAGATCCCAGTTCCTGCCACTGCTGTCCTGGGACCTCTGGTGTCCAGGTGTCCCTACGGTTTGTGGAATTTGGTGTTGGGGCTCATAGCCAGTGATTCCGTCCCTTGTTTCACATCTAATCTCAGGGGCAAAGAGGCGCAGCCCCATGGGGGAGCCATGGCCAACCCTTGGGTCTAGAAAGGCCTCTGAGTCAAAGGGCTATTACATTCTATCAGATCCTTTTTTCTGTGCCTATTCCAGTGAACACATGATCATTCTTTTTTTTATGTTATTGATGTGGTATACTCATCACACTTTTGATTTTTTAGAGGTCAAACAATTTTGTGTTCTTGGCATTAGCAGGACTTGGAGATAATTCCTTATGCTCCTTATATGTCCCTGAGTTCATCTTGCTGAGGTTTTGTGTCAGACATTTGTGTTCATGCTCATGGGCAATGTCTGTCCATAACATTTCTTTCCTTCCCCACCCTGGTCCGGTTGGGCACTGAACTGATGCTACCCTCACTCACTGAGCTTGGGGTAGCCTCTTATTTTTCTGCTTCAGAATTTTTTGTATGATAAACATTCCTTCCTTAAATGTTTAGGAAACTCTTTGTTTAAAAGTATATTTTATTGATTATGCTATTACAGTTGTCCCATTTTTTCCTTCCCTTTATTCCCCCTGCCCTTCATCCCCCTCCCACCAGCATTCCCTCACCCTAGTTCATGTCCATGGGTCGTACATAGACGTTCTTTGGCTTCCCATTTCCTATCTACTACATTTACTGTTCTTAACCTCCTTCTGTCTATTTTGTGCCCACCATTGATGCTACTTATTCCTGTACCTTTTCCCCCATTCTCTCCCTCCCCCTCCCCACTGATAACCCTCCATGTAATCTCCATTTCTGTGGTTCTGTTCCTGTTCTAGTTGTTTGCTTAGTTTGTCTTTCTTTTTTTTTTCTTTTTTTAGGTTCAATTGTTGACAGTTGTGAATTTGTTCTTCTTTTACTGTTTTTAATTTTCGTCTTCTTTTTTTTTTTTTAGATAAGTCCATTTAACATTTCATATAATAAGGACTTGGGGAATGTGAACTCCATTAACTTGACCTTATCTGGGAAGCACTTTATCTGCCCTTCCATTCTAAATGAAAGCTTTGCTGGATAGAGCAATCTTGGATGTAGGTCCTTGCCTCTCATGGCTGCCAATACTTCTTTCCAGCCCCTTCCCACCCATACGGTTTCTTTTGAGAAATCAGCTGACAGTCTGACGGGAACTCCTTTGTAGGTAACTATCTCCTTATCTCTTGCTGCTTCTAGGATTCTCTCCTTCATTTTAATCTTGGGTAATGTTATTATGATGTGCCTTGGTGTGTTCCTCCTTGGGTTCAACTTCTTTGGGACTCTCTGAGCTTCTTGGACTTCCTAGAAGTCTATTTTCTTTGCCAGATTGAGGAAGTTCTTGTTCATTATTTTTTGAAATAAATTTTCATTTTCTTGCTCTTCCTCTTTTCCTTCTGGCATGCCTGTGAATCAGCTGTTGGAACGTTTAAAGTTGTCCCAGTGGTTCCTAAGCCTCTACTAATTTTTTTTGAATTCTTGTTTCTTCATTCTGTTCTGGTTGAGTGTTTATTTTTCTTTCTGCTTCAAATCGTTGATTTGAGTCCCAGTTTCCATCCTTTCACTCTTTATATTTTCACCCTGTATATTTTCCTTTATTTCACTTTGCATAGCCTTCACTTTTTCCTCTATTTTGCAACCATACTCAACTATTTGTGTGAGCATCCTGACGACCAGTGTTTGAACTCTGCATGAGATAGGTTGGCTATCTCTTTGTTGTTTAGTTGTTTTCTGGAGTCTTGCTCTATTCTTTCATTAGGGGCATATATATTTTTTGTCTCTGTGCGACTTTTACATTGTTAGGGGTGGAGTCTTAGGTATTTACCAGGGTAGGACAACCGCATCGCTGCTTTTTTGGTCCTGTATATGAGGGAGGGGTCTGAGAGGGAAAACTGTCAGCATGTCACTTGCTTGACTCTTGTCCTGCTTTCAGTCACTTTCCCCTGATACCCACGAGCAAATTGGGCCCTTATGGTGCTTATTCCCACATGGGTGGGTTTGTGGGCATTCTAGGACCCTGTGGGTCTCTCCAACGAACTCTCTTGTGAGGCTGGGAGTTTCTCCCCAGGTTTCCACTCTTGGTTTATCTGCAGCAAGTGTGGGACCTCCCGGTCCTCCAGCTGCCACCTTGCCATGTGTCCCCTCCACCCAGCTGCTGGTCTCTGCTTCTCCTATCAGTCTGGATTCATGTTTCTTCTTTAGTTCTTTGCTTGTTGGATCTGCATACAGCTCGATTTTCTGGAAGTTCTCTTGTTATTTGTTTCTAAAATTGTCGTTCTTCTTTTGGTTGTGTGAGGAGGCACAGTGTGTCTACCTATGCCTCCACCTTGGCCAGAAGCCAGGGAACTATTAAAGCCGTATAGACGTGGCAATTTCTTTTGGGGAGGACTTTAATAGTAGATTTGGTTCAATTAGATAGTTGAGAGATTATTTGTGTTTTCTATTTCTTTTTGTGCTAATTCTAGTATATTATTTTTCTAGGAATTTGTTATTCCATCTTAATTTCAACTACATTGACATAAACTTGTTTCCATATCCTTTTATTATCTTTTCCTCTTATTATATTATCTTCCTTTGTCTTTTTAATACATATGCAAGGTGTGGTGAAAGGGGGTGGTGTCCCCCTTTCATTCCCATTATTGGGTGTTTGGAGCTTGTTTCTTTCTATCATGAGCATCTAGCCGGGGCATTAAAAAGAAAAGAGCAGTTGCTGGCTTTGTGGACCTTCTGTATCGTGCATCTCATTTCCTGTTCCATTCGTTTTTGCTCTTTCCTTCATCGGCTCCTTCCCTCTCCTCTCTCCTGGACCAGTGGTCGCGCAGTGCCGCTACGGCTGGCGGTGGGAGGCGCATGTGCAGCGGTGGTGTGAGGGCGCCGAGGGGAGCGGCTGCACGGTCTTCGTCCAGAGCCCCGGACCAGCGCCCAAGGGGAAGAGGAGTGCGGTGTACATCAGTCGGGAGGAGGGCGTGTTCACTGTGGCCCTGCATGGCTAAAGACCAGCCCAAGAGAAAAACATGTTTCTCTGAGTCACCGCCCAGGTGTTCTGCAGTGGGACCACCCTGCTCACACCCAGAGGCGGGCCATTCAGCTGAAGACGTGAACTAAGGATTCCTGCCCTGACACCCTGCTTTGCTTTTGCCAGGGCACCTTTTAAAATCACCACTGGGAGGTGAACCCGGGAAGAGCTAATGACCTTTGCCCCCACCACCATATAAGTACCAGGTGCTTGCCGTCCTGCTCCGTCTCCTGCTCCCTGTGACCTGGGACCGAGGACTGCCCTTGGCCTGGCTAATTGCCACCTCCCTGTCACCTCCTTCCCAGATCTGCAATAAATCTTGTGACTGCCTCCTCTGTGTGCGTGTGTTGAATGCTGCCTTCAATCACCATGACCTTGTGAGCTTCACTTTTCCGAGGACGGAGGTGGGATATGGAGGGAGCTCCCGGCTGCTCTGAGCGGCTGGTTTGCAGCCGTCGTTCAGCAGGGCCTGAGCAACACGTCCAGCCTGTGTGCTTCCCGGCTCGCCGTGGGGGAGCTCGGGCACGACGCTGCGGACGACTGCTGGTGTGGGACCGAGGGCCGGAGCTGACCCTCGGGTCCACATTAGTGACCACGGGTCCAGGCAGAGCTCTTCCCTCGTGCACCATGTGGCCGTGGTGCTGGGGGAGGGAGGTCTCAGGGCCCCTGTCTCTCTTCCTAAAACAGTGTGCCCGATACCCTGTGTTTAAAAGGGAGGGAGAGTGTGAGTGTGCTTGAATGTGTGAGAACAAAAGGAGGTGACTGTTCTAGCTCCTCAGAGAAGGACAGACTGGCTTGGGTGCTTCAGAGAGACCGAGGCAGGGAGGAGGCTGTCCAGAGGGAGAGGCAGGGGACAGGGCGGGAGGGGGTCTGAGCTGCCCTGCAGAGGGGCTGTCTGGAGGCAAGTTGGGGACGGGACTGCTCCTGCTGCCAGGCTGGGGGTCAGCCCTGAGCCCTGTGTCCTTCCCAAGTGCACACCCAGCGTGTCTCCCTGGCTCCCTGGGACCTGAGCCCTGAGCTCCTCTGTGTGGCCCCACCGCAGGTCCTGCCCAGGGTGCTGGCCCCACCTTCTCAGCTCCTCCCACTCCCGGGGGCAAGCAGAGCCCTGGCCAGGCCTGGACACTTTGCTTCATCCCAGTCATTGAGACGCATCCCTCATACACTTGTCAATGATGTCATTGCTTCTCGGGAACTTAGTGAAACTAGGAAGGAACTGAAGACAACAAATACAGGAAGTAGGTGAGAAAGACAAAAAACAACGATTTAGACAAAGCAAAGGCAGTGCGCCTCTGGGCTCCGTTCAAGTCCCTGGAAGACATTGGCATTTGGTGATCCCCAGGGAGAGAACGCGGCACCAGGACCATGTGGCTGCTCCCAGCTCTGCTCCTGCTGCTCCTCCCAGGTGAGTGGGGCGGGGCTGGAGGGAGGAGCATGACTGAGGCTGGGCGGACACAGAGAGGGTCAGTCCTGGGGAAGGGACAGGTCCAGTCCAGCGTCCAGACACTTTCAGTGAAATGGAAACCAGTGTCTGCTGACTCCCCAGAGCTCTGTCAGGTGGGAAAGGAGCAGAAGCACCCCTGTCAGGACAGCGTCCTTCCCCCTGGCTCTGCCCCCCCCCCCACACACACACACACAGGGGGAGGGACCAACAAGCGAGTCCAACCCTGGGGACCTTTAGGAGCTCAGAAGCTGGGGCTCCAGCTCAGACCCTCTCAGGGAGGGGGGCTCAGGAACTTGGGCTGTTTCAGAGCCTTCTCAGCTGGTGGTGACTTGTAGCGAGAGCTGAGTCCCCCTTCCCTAAAGCACTCAAGGGGACAGGCAGCAAAGCCAGGGTGACAGGCTCTCTGGACTGTCACTCCACCCGGCTGACCTGCCTGCCTGAGTCTCTGTTTGGGACAAAGAAAGACGGGACCGTTGTCAGTGTGGTCAGTGTGATATTGGAGGTGCATGGAGTGGTGCCACAGGGAACAAGACCAGAGGTGAGAAGCTGCCTATTCTGGGCCAATGGTCAGCCATGGGCACAGCTTGTACTTGATGCTCAGAGGCCCAGGTCTAGGGGGCAGGGCCACTTGGCTGCCCAGCTCTGCTGCTTCCCATCCCCCAGGTGAGCGCCCCAGGAACCAGAACCTCAGTGCTCGGGGCTGGTTCCCTGGGTCCCCCTGGGCCACCCAGAGACTCTCCCCATCTCCAGGCCTTAAACTCACTCACATCTGCAGAGTCCCTGCTGCCATGTGAGGGCCGTGTTCACAGAGTGGGGACGGGCGTGGTGTCTACACAGACTGCTGTGCTGTTCAAGCTCCATCCCCAATTTCTATTTGTAGTGCTTTCTCTTTCTATTTAGTCAAAAGTTTTAAACATTTCCATTCTAACCGTTTTCTTCTCTCACTGGTCATGTAAGAGGAGTGTGTTTTCACCTGGGAACATGTGTGAACTTTTCAGCTCTTGGTTTCTGCCTCAGCTGAACTGGACTCAGAGACACACGCAGGGGTTTCATCTCGGAGTTTTTAGGGACCCGCTTCTGCCGGGTCTCGCGATGCTCAGCGTCTGCCCCTGTCCTCTGTGCTTTAAAAAATGTTGGAGCTGCCGGACACCCGCTTCCCATGCACTTCCTTCCGGCTTCCTCCCAAACATGTGAGGGGGAAACAAAAATCCCCAGAACTGATTCATAAACAACTGGGTGTTGGTCCTTACATGTTAAAACTCAGTCACTGTCGAAGCCCTCTCTATCTGAAGTGATGTACCTGTCCAGGTGTTTTTCCCACTCAAAATGTTTTTGAACTTGGCAATTCTTGAGGCTTTTTGTGTTACAGCCATTTTCTGTTTCACCTCTTCTGCATTGACAAAACAGTTACCTTTGAGGATATTTTTCATCTGGAAAACAAAAAAAAGGCCCTCGGGGGTAAGATTGAGTAAATAGGGAGAGTGAGCACAAAGGTCAGTCCATGTTTGGATAGAAATTGCTGAGAGCTTTGCAGGTTCAGACTGGTGTGCATGTAAATCACCCGCCATGAAATGGGCAAACATGTGGAGAGAATATTCAAAAAGCAAAAACTCACCGAAGCTGGACCCAGCCTCTCACCAGGATGCCAGCTGGCACACTGATCCAGATGGGTTCCTAGAACACTCACCTAGTGGGTGGAGCCTGTATTTTCCAAGGGGCTGGAGAAGACACAAGAGGTCCTAGCCCAGGTGTTTTTATCTTACACTGAAGTTGAAGACCATTGGATGCAGACAATGAAAATGTGTGACATCGGCTCCACAGTTGGTGTCACCACTTTGGTCACTTTCAAAGGTGCTCCTGCAGGGGGTGGGACTCAGGATGAAACCACTGGGACCTTCAGAACCACCTGGGCCTTCCTCTGCACAGCCAGGTGCGGCCAGTGCTCCAGCCAGACCTCTGAGGTCATGGGCACAGGTCAGACCCTCCTGTGGACACGGGTCCTCTGCTGCTTCCTCCCCAGGAGACCAGTTCAACACAGACGTGGGTGACAAAAGACATTGAGGAGACACAAAGGTTTCTTGGCCACATGGGAGGGGGAGGGGTGACTTGTCAGAAGCTGTCAGTGCTCAGTGTCCCTATTGTGTCTCTGAGACCTGGGGCTGTGCTCTTAGGGGACTTTGGAGGCGGCTGTGACGCAGTGGAAATCTGAAGGACAAAGGTCTGTCTCCAGGAAGGTGATTCCTCCCTGGACTCTGTGCCTGTCACTGGGCAGGTGGACTGACTGGGGCCGTCACTGTGCAGGAGGCTGTGGCTCTGCCCTCAGTGTGGGGGTGGGGAAGGTGACAGGCACATGGGTTTGTGTTTTCCAGGCTCAGCAGCTGTCATCACGGGTCCAGAAGAAGTGAGAGGCCCTGAGCAGGGCTCACTGACTGTTCAGTGTCGCTATGTCCCCGGGTGGGAGCCCTACGTGAAGTACTGGTGTCGAGGAACTTATTTCCGTAACTGCAGGATTCTTGTTAGAACCAGTGGATCAGAGCAGGAGGTGAAGAAGGACCGTGTGTCCATCAGGGACAATCAGACCAGCCTCACCTTCACCGTGACCATGGAGAAGCTGAGGCCGGAGGATGCAGGCACTTACTGGTGTGGGACTGAGAAAAATGAATCTGACCTTGGGGTCCCAGTTAATGTGACTATTGGCCAAGGTAAGAGCGTGTTTGTATGTGGCTGTGTGACTTCAGGGCCTGGTCTTTTCTGGTCCCTGAGGTTCATGTCCAGGAACTGAGCTCACTCAGAGGGAACTGTCTTGAGAGGGTGGTTGAGTCCTCAGGTCTCATGGGACCCACATGTCACCTGGGCTTGGAGTGGCAGAGCATCTCTTAATGGCTCTTGAGGTGAGGGACTGTCACTCAGGAGGTGGTTAGAGTGAACACCAGCTCCAGCTCAGACCCTCTCAGGGAGGGGGGCTCAGGAACCTGGGCTGTTTCAGAGCCTCCTCAGCTGGTGGTAACTTGTAGCCACAGCTGAGTCCCCTTCCCTAAAGCACTCAGAGTACTGGGAGGGGACAGGCAGCAAAGCCAGGGTGACAGGCTCTCTGGACTGTCACTCCACCCGGCTGACCTGCCTGCCTGAGTTTCTGTTTGGGACAAAGAAAGACGGGACCGTTGTCAGTGTGGTCAGTGTGATATTGGAGGTGCATGGAGTGGTGCCACAGGGAACAAGACCAGAGGTGAGAAGCTGCCTATTCTGGGCCAATGGTCAGCCATGGGCACAGCTTGTACTTGATGCTCAGAGGCCCAGGTCTAGGGGGCAGGGCCACTTGGCTGCCCAGCTCTGCTGCTTCCCATCCCCCAGGTGAGCGCCCCAGGAACCAGAACCTTAGTGCTCGGGGCTGGTTCCCTGGGTCCCCCTGGGCCACCCAGAGACTCTCCCCATCTCCAGGCCTTAAACTCACATCTGCAGAGTCCCTGCTGCTGTGTGAGGGCCGTGTTCACAGAGTGGGGACGGGCGTGGTGTCTGCACAGACTGCTGTGCTGTTCAAGCTCCATCCCCAATTTCTATTTGTAGTACTTCCTCTTTCTATTTAGTCAAAAGTTTTAAACGTTTCCATTCTAACCGTTTTCTTCTCTCACTGGTCATGTAAGAGGAGTGTGTTTTCACCTGGGAACATGTGTGAACGTTTCAGCTCTTGGTTCTGCCTCAGCTGAACTGGACTCAGAGACACACGCAGGGGTTTCATCTCGGAGTTTTTAGGGACCCGCTTCTGCCGGGTCTCGCGATGCTCAGCGTCTGCCCCTGTCCTCTGTGCTTTAAAAAATGTTGGAGCTGCCGGACACCCGCTTCCCATGCACTTCCTTCCGGCTTCCTCCCAAACGTGTGACGGGGAAACAAAAATCCTCAGAACTGATTTATAAACAACTGTGTATTTATTGTCTAATAAATACATGTTTAAACTTCCGTCTCCTTCCAAATTCTCTCCATCTGATGCAATACCCCCATTGAGAAATTTTCCCACTGCTCAAAACATTTTTGAAATTGTCAGTTTGAGGCTTTTTTGGTGTTACAGCCATTTTTCTGTTTATCCTCTTTCACATCAATCAAGTATACACCGATTATGAAATGGGCAAACATGTTGAAAGAGTCTTCAAAAAACATTCACTGGTGCTGAACGCAGCCTCTCACAACAACACCAGCTGGCAGATGGGCTCCTAGGAAACTCTCCTAGTGGGGGAGCTGTGCTCTACAAGGGGCCTGCCCTCCAGAAGATAATTCAGGTTGTTTTGGGTGCCACCTCACACACTACAGCATCCACACCTACTGGTCTTTGGCAGCAGATCAATCATCAGAGTCTATCATTTCTGTGAACAGTCTGCCTGTGGTTCATAAGCTTAAAGGATTTTTGGTGAAAGTTGCATTTAATTTATTTCCTTTGCTCTGGGTGCCTTCATGAAAAAGGTCACATGGAAAATACTGGGAGGGCTGGTGTCCTTGTAGTTTGTTTGTTTGAAGAGAGGAGGTAATAAGGCTTGTCAGTTTTCTCATTTTTTTAACTCTTGCTTGACTTTTTTAATTAAATTTAAGAAAAATCTTACAAGACACAGAGGTCCTAGCCCAGGTGTTTTTATCTTACACTGAAGTTGATGACCATTCGATGGAGGAAATGGGATCGTGTGACATGGGTTCCACAGTTGGTGTCACCACTTTGGTCACTTTCAAAGGTGCCCTTGTGGAGGGCGGGGCTCACAATGGCACCACTGGGGCCTTCAGAACCACCTGGGCCTTCCTCTGCACAGCCAGGTGTAGCGGGTGCCCTAGCCCTGCCTCCAAGGTCAAAGGCACAGGTTAGACCCTCCTGTGGACACGGGTCCTCTGCCGCTTCCTCCCCAGGAGACAAGTTTAACACAGATGTGGGTGACAAGGGACATTGAGGAGGCACAAGGATTTCTTGGCCACAGGGAGGGGGACAGGTGATTTGTCAGTAGCTGTCAGTGCTCAGTGTCCACATCGTGTCTCTGAGACCTGGGGCTGTGCTCTTGGGGGATTTTGGAGGTGGCTGTGACTCAGTGGAAATCTGAAGGACAAAGGTCTGTCTCGAGGAAGGTGATTCCTCCCTGGACTCTGTGCCTGTCACTGGGCAGGTGGACTGACTGGGGCCGTAACTGTGCAGGAGGCTGTGGCTCTGCCCTCAGTGTGGGGGTGGGGAAGGTGACAGGCACATGGGTTTGTGTTTTCCAGGCTCAGCAGCTGTCATCACGGGTCCAGAAGAAGCGAGTGGCCCTGCGCGGGGCTCACTGACTGTTCAGTGTCGCTATGTCCCCAGGTGGGAGCCCTACGTGAAGTACTGGTGTCGAGGAGCTCATTTCAGTAACTGCAGGTTCCTTGTTAGAACCAGTAGATCAGAGCAGGAGGTGAAGAAGGACCGTGTGTCCATCAGGGACAATCAGACCAGCCGCACCTTCACCGTGACCATGGAGAAGCTGAGGCGGGAGGATGCAGACACTTACTGGTGTGGGATTGAGAAAAGTGGATATGACCATGGGATCCCAGTTAAAGTGGCCATTTTCCCAGGTAAGAGAGTATGTGTGGGTGGCTGTGCGACTTCAGGGCCTGCTCTGTCCTGGTCCCCAAGGTCCCTGTTCAGGAACGGTGCTCACTCAGAAGGAACTGTCACAGAGGGTGGTTGAGTCCTGAGTCTTGGGACTCACTGCTCACGTGCACTCGGAGGGCAGGGAGTCTCTTAGGGTCTCTCTGGCTCCGGTGGCTCCTCCAGGGCCGGGCCAGGCCTTTCTGGGCAACTGAGTTTCTCCGCCCACCTCTGTCCCTGACCTGTTGCCCAGAGAGATCACAGTGATGGTCCCTGATTCAACCTGGGGGCCATCGGGACCCTCCTTGGTGGGACCCAGAGATCCCAGTTCCTGCCACTGCTGTCCTGGGACCTCTGGTGTCCAGGTGTCCCTGCGGTTTGCGGAGTTTGGAGTCCGGGCTCATAGGTGCCGATCCTGTTCCTTGTTCCACAGTTGGGGTGCTGTGGCCCAGTTCCTGAGGTCTGCAGAGGTCTCCACAGTCAAAGAATTATATCCCGGTTGCCTGTATTTTATTCACGAGCTGTGTATGCACCTGGGCTTAAGACAGTGTCTCCCCGTCCTAGAGGCTGACTCCTCTGAGAGTATCTTGGTTTGAACCAGTTTATCTTTTGGGCTCTGCTTCTGCTGACCCTCGGACAGCCAGTTCCAGCTCACAGGTCACTGCTGGTGGCAGCCGGGGGACACACTCCAGAGAGTCCCCACCACACTGGAACCTTGGGGGGGCTGTTAAAGGTGCAGAGTGTGGCACATTGGTTGTGTTGTAGATTCCTGACCCTGTGTCTGAGCAGGAACTATTTTAGTTGTAGAAACGTAATAACTTGTCTGATGTAAGGGATAATCCTGAATGTGGTGATTCTGTTAAGGGCTGGTCCCGACCTTAGAGTCTCTTGGGTACGTTACCCCCAAGGCAGCCCTGCTTCTGCCCCTGTACATACTGGGTGAACCAGATGGGGGGGGCTTTGGCCAAAGTTGTGTGCCACGCAGCACATCGTCTTTGACCTTGCCCAGACTCCCCACCTTCCGAGGCCCTGAGTCTGCCAGAGGCCGAGGAGATATGGGCGGTCCAGGCTACAGGCCCCTTCCCATGGCCCTGCTCCTGAGTCCTCAGCCAGGGCAGTGCCCACGCCTCCCAGGCTGATGGCCATATGCAGGGCTGTGGGGGTGCAGGGGGTGGGGTGGGCCAGCAGAGTGGAATGTCACCTGTTCTGTGTGTCAAGCAGCCACTACAGTGTCGACCACCCCCACCACCACCATGTCCACAGTGCCAGTCACCACAGAAGCCTCTACAAGCTCCCCGACTGTGAGCGGCCTCCACCCTGAAGGCAGGTAAGTCAGCTCAGATGCTGCTGTTCCCTGTGGCCCGCTTGTCCCAAACTTCTCCAGTGTGGGGACTATTTGTAGCCCCTGTCCCAGCCAGGATGCAGGGGCCCCTGCCACCTGCTCTCAGGCACCACAGGGTCAGTGGTGACCCCCCTCCCGGGCCTGCCCCCTGCAGCTCAGGGCATTGGAAGGTTGTTCTCACTCATCCCTCCCACTGCACTGAGTGAAGTCCTGAGTTACCAGCCCTGTGCTGAGTCTGGTCACATGGACGTGGAGTGACCCCTGTGGAGCTGAGAGTGTGGGACATGGACGAGCAGGTGGTCACGACAGTGAACAGGCTGGGCTGGGGGGGCTGAGAGGTCATGGAGCCACAAGAGTGGCTCTCGGTCCAAATTCTGGGAGCACAGGGAGGGCCTGGGAAGTCCTGTCTCCCCAGTTACTGCTGTGGCAGCAATGGTGACAGTGACCGTCCCCCTTGTCTCCAGAGCACCCGGCAGCTCTCACAGGGCTTTCTTGTCCATTGTCCTGTTCAACCTTTGACCTGCCGACGACCCCTCCTGAGGAGGAGGGGCAGAAATGCACGTTCCCATTTCACAGAGGGAGACACTGAGCCTGGCTCCTGCTTCCCAGCGCCCTGCCCAGCCCTGCAGCTCGGGGCTCTCTGGGCGCTGAGGGGCCCCTTTCCTCCCCTGCCCACCCTCCCCCGCCCTCTGGGCTTTGCGTCTGCACCTGCTGCTGGCCTTCCCACCCAGTCCCTGTGGGACCTCCCCTGTCCCTCCACCCGGGACCCCTCTGTCCCCTCTCCCCTTTGCCTTCTGTTTTGACTGTTGCTTTTTCTTGACCTGGTTTTAATACACAAAAGCAAGAAGTTTTTCATTTCGTAAATTAAAATCAGATGTAAGTACCAGCTGGGGTCTTTGATCAGCGTTGGGTGGGTAACTCATTCATTTCCGGAGTGGATAACTGTTGAGCACCCCCATGTCTGTCACCGATTTAGGGAACACAGGGGATGGAGGGGGAAGAAAACAATCAGGTGCCTGCCCTCCAGGCACTTACAATGGAGAGATGATTAATGTGCCACAGATTTAGTTAACTAACTGATAGAGGAGTATATTGTGTAAAATTCAGTGAACAGTGATGAATGAGAGACACTTCCTGCTTCAGTCAGCTCGGGGACCATGACACAGCACCTCAGTCTGGATGGTGTGAATAGCTGATGTTCTCTGTGACAATTCTGGAGCCAGCCATGTCTGTATCCCTGTGTCGCAGGGCTGGCTTCTCCCGAGGCCTCTGTCCTGGGCTTGGGGACAGCCGTCTTCTCCTGGTGTCCTCCCATGGTTTCCCCTTGTGTGAGTCTGTGTCCTAACTCCTTCCTCCTCTTCTAAGGACCCCCATCATTCCCCTCCCCCCTAGTGGAGCATGCAAGGGTGAGAATAATAAGGATGAGGGAAGAGAGTTGGGACAGGTCAAGGCCAATGTCAGCCTGGGGACCCGGGCCTGCCCTCACATGAATCATTGGAACCCACAACCTGGGAGAGGCTGAACTGGGAAGAGGGTCCTGGGAGGCAGCTCACTCCTGTCATCGTGTCCCCTGCAGGTCCCTGCTCAGCAGCGTCCACTTCCTGCTCCTGGTCTTCCTGAAGGTGCCCCTGTTCCTGAGCATGCTGGGGGCCGTCCTCTGGGTGAACAGGCCTCAGGGGTGCTCTGTGGGAGGTGGGCGGGCCCATTCTGAGAACCAGTAGCCCCCATGGCCATTGATGTCTTGTGTGAATGAAAGAGCCTCAAGCAGAAGTAAAGACCTTCTGCTATGAAGTGACTGGTCAGCAGGGCCATGTTTCTAGAGGCAGCGTGGCCCTGCCTGAGGACACAGGACCCGAGTCCCTGGGCACCCAGAGCTGTGAAGCTGGGCCTCTGGGCCTGGCTCTGGTGTCTCAAGGCCTTGGGTGCCAGGTCTGACCTCAGCCCTGAGAGCCCCTGCCCGGTGTGGACTGACTCTGGGTCGGATGGGGTTCAGGGCTCCCGCCCACATGGGGTCACAATTCCTGATCCACGAATAGCAAAATGAAACCAGTCACCGATGATGTGCCCCCCAGCAGTGAGGGTCTGAAAGCTCGGTGAGCAGACGACTGTGGAATCCTTATCCTGCTGCTTTTTGCCACTTGTGAGGGAGGATGCTCAGGTTCCCGCTCCACCCTTCACCTGCTGGACGTGCACCTGCGATCTCAAAACAGATTTCCCCTCACATCCTCTTTTGGTTTCCACATCCTACTTGTCAACATATGTAAATGTTCTCACTTCTTTCGAGAGTATTCGTGTGGTTGCCAGTGTCGTTTTGGGGTCCCAGGGATACCCAGGTATTTTTGGGGACTGTGGCATGGTCCGTCAGTCAGACTCTGGAGCTAGGACAGACCTAGCAGCTGTGAGCCCATGAGACAGCGGGAGCGACGGCGGCAAGGGGAGACCTTGGCCATGGGGGACCCCGCTCACCCTGCTCAGGCCTCGACACCCAGGTCAAGCTGCCCTCACCTGGACGCCCTCTGCACTGTGCTTGGGCCCTGAGTGCCCCTGGGAGCATGTTTTGTTTTGTTATTTTTAATCAGCACATTTTAACAACCTGTGTCCTCCGTGCTGCCCAAGATGAGAACTTGGCATTGCGCCCTCTGCCCAGGCTTGTCTTCCCAGAACCGATTCTGTCGTGCTTTTGCATTGATGGCGCTGATGGTCTCTTCTGTAAATACGTCCCACGGTAGTGCAGCCTCTTTTTTACTTTTAAATAGAGTCGCCATCCATCATAGCTTTTTTTTTTTTCATTATTTGATTTATTTCATTGTTGGCGAAATTTCAACATGATGTTGTTTTTCTGTTTTCCGGGGGCTCGCAGGTGCCATACTTCACATGCTCTTGCGTATGTAAGAGTGTTCGTTGCCAAAACCAACAATCCTGGGTGTAAAACTCCCAGAATGCCCCGTCTTTTCTGGGACCGGGTGGCTCTTCCTTCATGTCTCCGGGGATGTGGCGCAGCTGCGGCAGCTGAGGCTGCTGCCCTTCCCTTCACACACGCAGCTCTATTCCTTCTGGTTTGACATCTTTTCTGCTGTGAGCCCCTAAGATTTTATCTTGATCTTGGCACTTCTGTAACTTCAGAATATTCTAGGTGTCAATCATTAGGACCTTCCCCCGCCCTCCCCCCACCCCCAAGACACTGTGTGAATTTTTAATGACAGGTTAAAGGATTTCTTCATTTCAGGATAATTTTCAATTAAATGTAATTATTTTTACTTTTGGCTGTTTTTTTCTCTTCTTAGGGAACAGGCAGCTGTGTTTGTGGAACGTCCTTTCTCTGTCTCTGTGCCTGTGTCCGCCTCTCCAAACGCTTTCCTATTGTGTTGACTGGAACGTCTCTGGACGTCATTTCCACGGGTCGCGACCTTTGTGCATCTGTCGTCGGGTCATGTGCTCATCCGTCTGTTCTTCTTCCCAGCCATGCTGTGCCTTTTCTGCTCATTTCTTTTCCGAGCCCTGCCCGCCTGCTCTGTACAGCATTGCCCCTTATTCTTTAGAGAAATCCCACCGCCCGTCATTTCCCTGAGACCAAGTAGAACTGTTTACATGAACCTATGCTTCTTTGGGTATTTCCTATCACGGTGCATGCTTTTACTTGCTTTTCGATTGTATGCTTTTCTTTTCTTTAACTCCTAAGCTATTGAAGGTGCTACTTCTTTTTTGAATAAAAGTTGGTTTTTGCCAAAGTCTCCCAATGTATGGGGAGGAGAGGAGGCTGGAAGAGGCTAGGAGACTGTCTGTTCCCAGCATCTGCAGAATCCCCTGCTTGGGACGCTCCCCTTTGCAGTTTATTGCTCCTCCCTCACCTCTCTTTTATCCCCTGCACCCACAGCAACGCCCTCCGTGTGGGGTGCAGACCATGTTCAGTCAGCAGGCCAAGTCTACGATCAGACTTATAAGGGTAAAAAGTTGACGATACCGCATGTCGTGGGCAGGGTCAGCGTTGATTAACGTGTGTGGACAAGAGCAGAAAACTTTGTATCTGCTCTTGTGATATTCGTCCACACCGGAAAATGCACAGACCTGCAACCTGACTCAGAGGGGTCTGTCCTCGGGATATAGTCCCAAATGTGTCTCATGCAAACATGCAAAGATCTTCATTACAGAACTGCGTGTAGTTGCAAAAAAACAAAAACAACTTAAATGCCCACCAAGAGGGAAAGAACTGAACAAATCATAATATGCAGATATCATAGAATGCGACGGAGCCATTAAAAGCAAAAATCTATGGCTATTGATACAAGTGATTCTGAAGACAGACCAGGTGCAAACCGGCCTGCCGCAGAGCAGCACCCATGATGTGCCCAGAGAGGAAAGAACACATGCACACACGCACAGATGCACAGAACTTCTCCAGAGAACCCACAGACACACATAGGAACCTACTCCCCACTGCTCCCAGAGGGGGTGAGCTGGGAAGGAGGCAGAGAGTTTGAATCAGGGATTGAGAGTGATCACGTGACTCACCGAGGGTCACACAGCTGAAAAGCGGCAGAGAGAAGCTTCCAGCTGCCCCTCATGAATCACTTTTGGGGGATAATTTTCTTTCAAGATCATGCTGAGAAAACAATTTTAGACAAAATGTCACAAAAACTAATAAAACCCACAGACTATGGATGTGAATTTTTGTACATTTTCATGTTCTAAGACCCTGAGGTTTAAATTAGGGGGAGCGGTCCAGCATAAGAGAAGCTCATGGCCTGAACAACCCCCTGCTTCTGGCGAACTTCCTTCTGCCAAATGTGTCTACCAGGTGTCATTGCTTAACACCTTGTGCCCCCACTTCGGGAGAGGAGGTGTGGACACGCACACACACCAACACGCATGGACCCCTAGAACACGTGGAGCCTCCTCACGCAGCAAGAAGTTTATTTACTGAGACACCAGACTAAGAAACTGTTTGACAACAGAATCCCAGAATCGCAGGGCTTTCTGCTTAACTGAATCCAAGTTCTTGGATAAAGCATTTCGAATCTGTCTCTGCCTTCACAAGTCCTCTGTGGCTGCTTCATGGGATTGGTTATATTTCAGACCAATCCCTGTATATAACAGGTACACCCGAGTACCTTTTGATACACTGACATAGTTCTGCCCTTGAGACTCTAGGCTTCTTATTCAACCACACAGGTGAATGGTGAGGCTCCAAGGTGGTTTGCCAAGTTCTGGGTGCTGGAGCAATGGGGACCATTCAGGAGCCCGTGACCGAGAGGGGAAACCACTCAAGGCCTCTGGGGCCTGAGGAGGGCAGACCAAGAGCTGGGGGTTCAGAGGAACAAAGCCCCCCCCCCCAGGGTTGACTCTAGGGAACCGATCAGCATGGCAGCGGCAAATGTAGCCTTGCACTGATCTGGAAAACCGATCAGTGTGAGGCGGCGCTCAGGAGCCAGGTGTGCAGATCAGCTTTCCTGTGGGGAACCAGGCCTGCATCGTACCTGGGCTGCTGTGAGACTTGCTTTTGCTAAAACTCCCTCACCCTGAGTTAAGACTGCAGACATTTAATGTGTATCCCTAAAGTCTGTGCTAAGACATCCCAAGGACAAAATGCAGCCAAATCAATCATTTTTATTGTTCCCTTGCATTTGCAACGTTTTTTTTATTGTTGTTACCTATAAGAAGTAATCACTTAACTAAATCTAGAAATAACGAGGACCTTCTCTGATGTAATTCGACTGGAAAGCCATACAAGCCTGTCCAGGCAACAGCGGGGGGGCTCTCTCTCTCTGAGAGTGGCCGTGCCGTCCCTTTCCCCCCACGGGACTCCTGCAGTCTGTGTGAATTTGTCTACTGCATCCACAGCACACAGACTCTGGTGGGCCGGAGTCACTTTGTGCCCCACCCAGAGACAGCACCGGCTTCCTGGAGGTATGCCCCGAGCAGCGCTCCGGGCCCTGCACTTAGGAGGTCCTCCTGCTTGGTGTAACGCTCATTGTTGCTGTCTGGAAACTCTTAATATTCTGGAACAAGAGCACTTCCATCTGCCCTGGGCCCTGGAAGTCGCCGATCTTGCCCAGATAAGGCGAAGTCAGGCCTGTCCTGCACAGGACAGCTCTTGTCGGCCACAGGAAGTTAACCACTCATGAAGGGCAGGACTTGTTTGGAAAATGTAGACAGAAATGAGGCCAGACTGGTCGGGGCTCCGCTGGGATTTAGGGAAGGACGGCAGGCCTGCCAGCTGTGGCTGAGAATGGGAGGGGCACTCTCTTGTCCGGGAAGAGAAGCGGAAACTGCAGATTCAAATTTTCAGCAGTTTTCCCCTGACCACGTGATGATGTGAAATCCTAGCTTCCCACGTGTTCCAACCAGCTCTGAGAACAGAAACAAGCAGGGGATGAAGAAGGAAGCAGAGACATGATGAGGAAAGAGGAGGAGGGGGCCGGGTGAGCAGATCCTGGGCGAGGAGCCCCCAGCCCCAGGCCGGCGGTGGCCGGAGAGGCCCAGGGTCCTGTGGCCCCCATCGGCTCTGCCGCTTCTCTGCGCGCCGGGCGAGCGGGGCTGGGCGGGGCCTCGGGGGTCTGCCCTGGCAGCTCCGGGTAGACGAAAGGTGGTGATGAGAAGGGAAAGAAACAAAAACGCAAGTGGAAAGGGGATGAGGTGTGCTAGGGCACCCCCATTCCTCACTGGGGTAGGGTGAGGGTGAAACAGAAAATGCTTTCCACGCCGCGAGCACATACGAAGCCCAAAGTAAACTTCCTGCCATATTGCTCATCATTGTTAAAATCAGGAATACACCCCAGAGATGGGGGAGGGGAGCAGAGAACTAGTACTTTGGGGGTTAGTCACTGTATTACCTGGCTCCCCCATAATCTAATCCCTATCGTAATCCTCGTCCCACCAAGAGAGGTGCAAATAATTTGCTCTAGGTCAGTTCGTGAAAGACACACACAAGATTCAAACCGAAATACACTGACTTTTTATACTAGTATGTCAACTACTAAGGCCTTGTGAATGACTGTCCGTGAGTCCCCAGGCAGTGCCTGGGCCGCCCTGAGGCTCTGTGCGATGGGCCCAGTGCAGGGGTCGGGGTGGGGAACGGGGGAGACTGCGGGGAACCGGTGGCCAGCCCTGCCCTGACAGCCCCCATACACCGCGGTGGAAGGGGCAAGGCCATTTTTCTTTTTGAGGCACTGGTGGGCAGGGAGCTTACTCTGGGTGGGGGTCGTAGCGGTAGAGGAGTATCAGAGGAAAGGGAGCCACTGGGTGGGACTCAGAGTGTCCCTCACAACGTGTCCCAAGCAGACCTGAGGAAGCTGCCCGCCCCCACCCCATCTTCGAGGGTGAGACTGAAGCGCACAATCCAGCAGGAAAAGCCACTGCAATGCTTTAGAAACCTGGCAACAGCGCCCCCAGAGGCAGAGCCCAGAACAGCAGCAAGTGCGCTGAGGGCTTCAAGCAGCTGCAGGGGCTCCCCTGCCAGCCCCAAGCCTGTGCTTGGAGGTCCTCAGGGGGCGGCATTTTGTCCCGTCCAGCAAGGCTCCTCACCTCAGCACTGTGGACACCGAGGCGGGGTTATCCGGTGCTGTGGGGCTGTCCTGTGCGCGGTGGGGTGTTTATTTAGCACCTCTCTGACCTTTACCCTCTAGATGCCAGCAGGGTCCCTCCACACTCCGTGGTGACAACAGAAGTGTCTTCAAACACTGCCAAACGTCCCCCGGGGCCAGTATCGCCCCTGGTTCAGAACCACTGCTTCGGGGGATATTGGCGGGCAAGGCGGACGGGCATTCTGAGGCAGAACTTAGGTCAATGGGTCGCCTGAACCTGCTTGCTGGGGGCTAAAGTGGGAAAATGCCAGATCATTGAAGCGAAGAAGCAAAAGTTCTGGGCTTTCTTTTCATTTTGGAATAAAATATAGCAAATGTCTGACCCTCTGTGGATGGCACTATATTGCCTGATAGGCGGATGGGTGGGTGGAGGGAGGGAGGGAAAGAGAAAGGAAGAAGGGGAGGGAGGGATGGGCATGTGGACAGATGAACAGACGGACAGACAGACAGACAGACAGGTGATGGGTGGGCAGACGACACGCACAACTCTTCTTCGGGAACTTGGTACTTTTGCCAGCGCTGCTCAGTAGCCTTTGCCGTGGATGGAGCCCATTCCTGCCCGGAGCAGGGCAGCCGCACGTGTCCCTTGGAGTGAGGGTGACTCTGTGGCGGGGGCAGAGGCTTTAGGGGACTGGGTCCTAGTCATTCGGAACTGGAGCCTCCAGAGAGACTGGAGAAGAAGAGGTGAGGTTGAAGTCGTAGAGGCGGTGAAGGACCTGAGGACGAGATCCTCAGACCCCCTCATGTCTGCCGACAGCCCTCTCCTGCTGCTTCCTGACACCTCCTTCCTCTGGCCTCAGGGTGACTTCCGGAAGACCTGACACCAAAGGCCCCTCTGGCCCAGGCTCTTCGGGATGAAGACAAGACTAATCACGTCTTCCAGGCTCGCTGTCTCTCAGTGGCCCCAGCAACATGACGGGTCCCACGGGCAGATCCCTGAGCATGTCGTGTCAATAGTGGGAGGAATGTAAGAGATTTGCAAAATCTGGTGCCGACAGCCATGCTGGCCTTTCTTCTCTGAGACCGTGGAGACCAGCGCCTCTGGGGAAGAGGTGGGGAGCGGCCAAGTGTCCACCGTGGACCGTCCCAGAAACCTCACCTTCACAGTGACCTCGGAGAACCTCACTGCAAGTGATGCAGGAAAATACAGGTGTGGGATTTCCATGATCCTGGTGGGAGAAGGGCTTCCTGGCTTCTTGCCTGATCCCCTTGTCCAGGTTCAAGTGTTTGTTTCCGCAGGTAAGACCCTCCTTCCTTCTGGTGCCGGTGATGAAGGAGTCTGAGCTAATCTGTGCAGAGCATCCTGGGAACTTTGGACTCAGGAGAGAGGAATCAGGCCTGGAGTGTGAGCTTCAGAGGTTGAGGGCCAAGCGTGCTGTGTGGATGGGAGTGTGTGTATATGTGTGAGTGTGTGAAAGTGTGAGCGTGTGTGCTACACCAGAGTTTCCTGCCGCCGCCCCAGGTCCTGACCTTGTACTGGGCCTTAAGACGTAGGTGAGAGGGCTCTGGGCCATCGGATCCGTCGGGACCAAGGGCCTCCTGGTCCCTTCCTGCCCACCCAGGGTTGGCGGACTGTGTGTGTGTGTGTGTGTGTGTGTGTGTGTGTGTGTGTGTGTGTAGGTGGTGGTGAGACCCTCCACTCCAGAAGGGTCCCCTTCTCACTGTCCCTTGGCTTGAGCTCTCAGAATTGAGAGATCTCGACAACCCTGGGGCCCAGAGCCTCACCCAGGGTCAGGAGCCCTGAGGTGGTCAGGGCCAGGGATGGCCCAGACTACCAGCCCCGTCCGACTGGTGAGCCCTGCTCCGGAAATCTGAGAGCAGCCCCTGACCCTCCCCTGGCCTCAGCACCCACCCTTTGAGCCTTTCCTCAGCCCCTGACCCTGTGCCGGCCCCAGGGGAAAACCCATTTCTGAAGGCCCTGGCCGCAGGGCTCCGGGGCAGTGGGGTTTGTCTGGGGCACAGGGAAGGCCCCAGAGGGAGCCTCCTACCCTCTGTCTTACAACGTCTCTGGCTCCCCAGGACTCCCCCCGCGCCCCCCACCCCGCTTCCGCTCCTTTTTCCTGTGACACTCCTGACCAGGTGGGAGAGACCCCGACAAACCCAAGGCCTGAGAAGGCAGGGGAGACGTGGGACACCTCCAGCATCTTTTTTTGTTCAAATTGTTCCTTGATCTTTTAATAAGTCCTTCCTTCCTTCCTTCCTTCCTTCCTTCCTTCCTTCCTTCCTTCCTTCCTTCCTTCCTTCCTTCCTTCCTTCCTTCCTCCCTCCCTCCCTCCCTTCCTTCCTTCCTCTTCTTTCTCAAGAGTTGTATCTGCCCCTATCAATCTAAAGGTGCTTTTTCTTCTGCTACCTGCACTGTCTTGGCTTCCTCTGAGATTTTTTCTCTTCATGTCGGGGTCTCCCTCCTGTGTTGGAGGTTGTGCTCACAAGGTTTCGTCCATGCACCCTTAAGAGTGCAGCCCCCAAGAGACTGGTTGTGAACTCGGTGGTGAGAGAGGGCCTTGGGGGTCAGCAGGAGATGCGCCCCTTTATGTGACTGCCGGAGACTCAGCTCTTTCCCTCGGGTCCCTCAGTGTCTGAGCCTGGAGGTTCTGCTTCGAGTTGGCCACTGACCCAGGGAGGATGCTCCAGGCTGCTGCCTGGGGGACTGCAGGTGAGGCTGCCGGTGTCCAAGGGCTGGGTGGGCTGAAGGGGCTGGGGGTCCCACGTGCCAGAGTGCAGATTCCGCCTCTTTGGGGACGCTAGCGTTTTCCAGCCATCGGCTGTGGAGGTGCCCTTGCTTTCCAAGGTCCCTCATGGACTGTATGGCCTTCTGCCGGGGGTGGGGTGGGGAGTGATGCGTGGATGCACAGCAGGGGAGGAACCTGAGGTCTGACTCTCGGTGTGCCCTTCCAGCCCTCCCGTCTTTAGTGAGAGGAGGGGCACCTAACGCTCAAAGGCAGACAGTGATGCTGCTCCTGTCCCGCCTGGTCGATAAAGTGTCCACTTGGCTGCAGGGCACAATGACGTTGGGTTGGATGGGGAAACTCCTCCGCTCTGGCCAGGCCCGGTCTGACTGTAGCCACAGGACGGTCTCGGGGCATCTGTTCAGCCCTTGCCCTGAGCTCCCTCTGCTTTATGAAGTCGGGACCACGCAGGTGACAGGTACCTAGGTGGGGAGAGTCACGGGCAGGGCACTGGGCCCTGTTCCCCACCCTCGCCCTCCCCCACAGCCTCCAGCAGCGACATCTCTTCAAGGACACCTGGACCTGCCAGCCGAGACCCAGGGTAAGGAGCACGGGGCCCCGAGTCTTCCACCTTCTGCGCAGCTCCTCCCCCTGGGGCAGGGCTTCCTACCCACCGGCTTCCTCAATGGCTCCCTCACTCAATGAGTGCTGAAGCCACGGCTTCTGTGCCAGAAACCGGTGCAAATGCTGGGGATGTGAGAGCGACCTGGGCGGCAGGTTGTGCTCTCCAGGGGGTTTCTTTCAAATTCAGACAATGACCAAATGGATATATACTTACAAAAAGACACACACACACACACACACACACACACACACGCACACACAGATGATAGAGAGACAGATGTGATAGAATGGGTGGGTAGACATGATAGATAATAAAGGTGATGGGTAGAGAGAGGAAATGTCAGTTAATGATAATTGTCATGGGGAAAAATCAACAGGTGGGCATTAAGGGACAGGGTGACGGGGCGTGGGGGAGGTGGGGGGCCGCAGTGAGGGCCACTGAGGCGCTCAGTGAAAACGAGCACCAAACAGACCGTCGCAGCTGGGTTTTCTCAAAATCGGATCCTGAGAACGGAGGTATGCTTAGTTTGCAGAGGAGATCCCAGAAATTGTAGGGAGGGAGTGGGGAGCTTAATGAATGAGTTGCCCCTGTAGCGACTGGTCTCAACCTCGGGGGCACCACTCCCCGGAGTGCCCTCAGAGAGGTTGTTAGGACATTGCTCAGAGCTGTCCCACCGAGCAGCGAGGAAGCCGGCGTGCTGATCCACACTCTTCTGTGCTCGCAGGGGTGGGGAAGGGGGTGGTTCCCTATTTTTATACAAAGTGATGAGCAAAGGCCTCTCAAACAGTGACATTTGAGCAGAGATTTGAAGGAAGTGGGAGAGCTGACCAAGCAAGAATGTGGAGGAGGGAGGCTCAGGCAGAGGGTCGCTCCTGGGCCTGAAATCTGCAGCACTTCTGGCCCGCTCTGCTCAGCAAGCCTGTGTGCCCCTCCCGTGGAGAGCACACCCTCAGGCAGAGGGGCGGGGGCTCGAGGTGGGAGACCGCTGGCAGGTCCAGGGCCGTGTACGGCCACCAGACGCTCGAGTGGGCATGAGGACATGGGGCAGGACCCCACAGGGTGTGCCGCGTCCGCCAGGAGCTGGGATGGGGCAGTGGGCTGGGGCCGAGGCGGGAGGGCATCGGCCAAGTGCTGGGCTTGCGGTGGTCGCTCATCAGGGTAGATAGAGGCTGTCGGATGCTTTAAGCAGAATATCTGCTCCCATGGTTATATTTAAGGACGAGCCAAGGCTTTAATCTTGAGTGTGCAGGGGACATAAGGGGACATTCATCCTTAGAGTTGGCCTCAGTGAGAGTTGAGTTTCTGTGCGTATTGATGGCTGAGGGGCCAGCATGTGGGTTCAGAGCACTGTTTGTGGGCGTCGGGGCCTGCCTTGGGCCCCACACCTGTCTTCCCCTCAATTTCTCAGCACCCCCACCCTGTTCTCATGAATCTGTGGGGTCCTGGCAGTCAAGGTCCATTCCTGACCTAAATGGAGGACAGGAGCCCATGGTCCTCAGCCCGGGGCTGTCTGGCTCTGGTGCCCACTGGGCTCAGCGCTGATATTGAGCTTTGGGGCCATGGGACCCGAACTCAAAGGCAGGTGGGGAGAGGCGGGGCCAGGGTTAAGGAGGAAAGTCACTGCCAGTCACTGTGTTCCCCTCACAGGTCCCTGCTCAGCAGCATCCACTTCCTGCTCCTCATATTCCTGAAGGTTCCCCTGTTTCTGAGCATGCTCAGTGCCGTCCTCTGGGCGAACAGGCCTCAGTGGGCAACTTGTGGGCAAACACGGTCCGACTAAGACAACCTGCAGCTGTCCTTGCCCAGTGACGTCCCGTCCAGAGACACAGCTACTCACACTAGAGAAGAAGGAACCTCTGACCCTCAACCTTACATCCCTTTTCAACTAATTGCCAGAGACTTTAAAAACAAACCTTACATTTTTTTAAAAATGAAATGTTACCTACACAAAAGTATGTGTATAATATACACAAACAGTGTGCTTTTCCTTAGAGATTTCAGACACAAGACAAAAGAACTCATTCCAGACTGTGGCCTCCTGAGAATGGGATCTAAGATAGACCCTGAGACTGCAGGGTTTCTCTTTACTTCTGGGGCAGATGTGTCTCACCAGGGTGCCTGGGCACTCGCTGCTCTCTGCTTTCCTACCTAGTAAACCAGCGCCATGTTCTCTGGACTGTCTACTCGAAGTCCCCTCCCCCTGCGCTGTGACAGAACAGAAGCATTGCCATAGTCCCAGGTTGACAAGGAATGGTTCTGAACTGTTCTCTTCCCAAGTAAATAGGACCTGCTTGTGACCGCCCTCCTTCACAGGGATTGAAAAGAATGCATCTGCCATGTCCACAACAGCACGCTGAGCACCAGAGACTGCTCTCATAAAGATGGTACATCAAGAAAAGCAATTGCATCCTGGCTGGTGTAGCTCAGAGGATTGAGCGCTGGCCTGCAAACCAAAGCATCGCCAGTTCAATTCCCAGTCAGGGCACACGCCTGGGTTGTGGGCCAGGTCCCCAGAAAGGGGCACACAAGAGGTAACCACACATTGATGTTTCACTCCTTCTCCTTCCCCTCTTCTCTCTCTAAAGATAAATAAATAAAATTTTTAAAGGAAAAAAAAGAAAAGCAGTTGCCATGGGGCCATCCATTGGTCAAGTTTAAGGTGGTCCACTGTGGCCGGACTCATCTGAGTTTGTCAAGAATCAGACCAGCGAATTAAGTAGGTATTTGAAAACGTACCCAGAATGTGTTTTCAAAGGGCGTGGTAAGACATGCAAATGTGGAAATGACTGTCACAAAAGGAGAAGTCTGTACTCATCAATCCCACCGCCCCGGCCTTTCGAGGCAGCCCGGCAGCCCGGCAGCCCCAGGGTCAGGCAGGAGGCAGGAGAGAGAGAGGAACCGAGAGGGGGGGAACTTTCCTGTGGTTTTCCTGGGAAGGAAGGGGTGAAGCAAGGTAACGAAACCAAGCAGGTTTAGGCGTGAAAGTATGAGTAATTCTGTCAGGTCCTGGGTGGTGGGAGTGGTCCCTTGTTCTTAGATTCGGGCCTTGGGATGATTAGTGCCGGCTCATACTCTCCCGGACCCAGGAGCCTGATAAACGCAGATCAGTGGGGGCAAGATTTGGGGCTGTTGGTCTGCATGAGGCAGGCTTGCGGGCAATTCTTACTGCCTTGAGAAAGTAGCTAACCAGGAAGGGGCAGTCCCTCCCTGGTCCACAAGGCCCCAAGATGTTAAAGCATCATAAAGTATAAACTTAAAAAGCCTACAGGACTCATGGAGATTACTGGTAGAGTAATAATTCGTAGTAGTGCATAGTAATCACGAATAGGCACTAATTGGTGGGGATGGGAGGGTGCTCACCACGCCTGCCTCCCGAGACCTTGGAGGGGGCGTTGGTCTCTGCCACCGCACTCAGGGTCTGCCATTGCTTGTAACTCACTGTCTGGATGTGAGGAGCACAGTTTCAGAACTTTGTTACCATGATAGCTTTTACTCCCTAGGGTATTGGGCCAATGTGAGGGTTCTGTTGGCTCTTAAGAATATCAGTCCTGGGCCTGGCTGGTGTAGCTCAGTGGATTGAGCATGGGCCTATGAACCAAAGGGTCGTTGGTTCAATTCCCAGTCAGGGCACATGCCTGGGCTGCGGGCCAGGTCCCCAGTAGGGGGCACATAAGAGGCAACCACACATTGATGTTTCCCTCTCTTTCTCCTTCCTGTCAGTCCTGATTGTGCCATAAGTCCACAGAGTTGGAAGCTTGGGTAGAGATGCGGTTTCCTTGGCTGGGACCCTTCTCTCATGCCCAAGCCACACGTCCGTCAGACGGCTTGCCGGCGGGGAGCTCTGGACCAGGCACTGACCATGGAGAGCTGGGCCAAGGGGGACCTTCTCAGTTCCATACCCAGGTCCCCTAAAACAACCTGCAGATTCAGCCTTGCACCAGCCCCAGAACCAGGAAACAAAGCCCGAGAAGTCCTCCCCAGACTGTTAGCAGTCAAAGCTTTTCACTCAGCCTGGCCAGCCGGGCAGCGGAGGGCCTCACCTCCTGCACGCCCCAACGCCCCTGGACATCTTCCTGTTCTCAGGCTCCCTCCTCGGGGGATAGATCTTTGGAGGACTTGCCTTATTTCTCTTTCTGTGATTTTAATGTTTGCAAGAAGTCCAAACCTGAGCTCATACCTATGTTGCTCAAGACCAAAGATCTTTTTTCCAAGGTGCTGGAGCCTCTCCTTGAGGTCTAGCCCTCTATCTGGAGGGAGTTGGGGGCGGGGGTCAGTGACAGATTCATAGCCTGAAACTCAAGCAGAGAAACATTTCTGTTTCCCTGTCTCGTGGATAGGAAAGAGCAAAGATAATCCGAGTACACTTGTGGCAGTTCTTAAAGCCACCAAGAGATGGCGCTAGCAACCACTTACAGAGCTTCACCATGGACATCTTGAAGAACTTAGATCTCCAACAGGATTGCTTCTCAGCTGCCGGGCTCCTCCCGGCGTACTCCAATACCCTGACCTCAGGCCCCACAAATGTTCAAACCAGACCCATTGAATCCTGCTGGCCTTTCCTCCCAGCTGACTCCACTCCCCCAGCCACTTCCTTCTCATCAGCCTGGGCTCTCTGAGCAGGGATCATCTATCTCCCCGAGACCAACCAGGTGTGGACTCAGACATTCAGGGGGCCAGGGGCCAGGGCTCAGGGGTCAACCAGGGTCTGGAGCCCAGTGGCCAGTTCAGACTGGAGTAGACTGAGGCTGTAAAGACTGAACCCAGGGGAGGGAACCAAGCCAGGCAGGAAAAACACAGACACACCTGATTCCAGTCCAAGGCTTGAGAAGCAGCAGCCACAGGGACCTTCTTGATTCCTTACTGCTTAGGAGAGGCAGGGAGAGGCAGGGAGACCCAGCGCCCTCCGTGAGCCTGTTCAGCTGGTTCAAAGCTAAGTGTGGGGCAGCTGTTGGCACTTCTTACTCCCCACGAACACAGGAGGACTGACTAGCATCAGCACCAGGGAAGGTGTGTGAAAATTCAGCTGCAGGGGCGAGAGACAAGGAGACTGAGGTGCAGGATGAAGACAGATGGGCAGGGAGTGGGGAGTGGGGGGGATCCACCCTGCAGTGCCCTGGGAGAGCCTGCGGTCTGGCATCCTGCGAATGGCCTCAGAATTAGCCTTCCCCGCCATCTAGATGCTGCATTACGCACCCCCCGAGGGGCTGAACTGACAGAAGTATTTGTGCTGGGTCCTTACATGTGTGTTTTATGCCTACCGAACCATCAGTCAGTTAGATTTTTAAAGCAACAGTCACTGTTTCATAATCTGATTAATTATTCATTATGGGCACTTGGGGATCAAAAGGTTGATTTGTGAACTTTACACATTTAAAATACCACTGTTCTTGTGACCCTATTTTGACATCTCCCTTTTTGAGAGGCTGCGGGCTTCAAAAGTAAAATCGAACTATGTATGCAGTGTCAGGTGGGTACTGGACTTATTGTAAGGTATTTAAATGTCTAGTCACTACGTTGTACACCTGAAACTAACATAATACAGTGTGCCAACTGTAACTGAAAAGGAAAAAAGAAATGCATTATACATAAATAATAAATAAGTCACTGTCCAAAAGTAAATAAAACGTGTTGTCCTGCCTCGGACATTTATAAAACAAACAAACAAACAAATCAAAGTGGCCCAGGCCACCTCCAAGAGACCCCGAAAGCCAGAGAGGAGCAAGGCAGGCCCTTCTGATTCCAGCCCGAGGACAGGCAATGCCACTTGGCTTTGACTTTAGCTTTGCTCCATTATTTTGTCCCATGGGAAGGAGGGACCCAGTCCTCTCCGTGGGTGGTTGCCCTGCCGCCTAGTGCCAAGCGCTGCCTTCTCAGACTGTTACTCTGTGTGGCTCTGCGGGAGCCCCTTGAACTACAGATGCTTATCAACTTGGGAGATGTTTACAGGTGAGGTTTGCGGTGTTTTAAGGTTGAGTCCGCGCATGGATCTTCCTGAGTTAGGTCCTCGTGTGCAGGCTTGAGGTTTGCAGATGTAAATTCCCACAGGGCCAAGTGCACACGAGTATTAGGGTTCTCTAGAGAAATACAACCAACAAGGAGGTACATACAGTGAACCGATTCCTTATAACTCATGGAATTTTGAGGAGGACCATCATCCGCTGTCCGCGAGCTGGAAACCCAGGAAAGCTGGCTGTGTAATCTGGGCCAAGTTTGAAGGTCTACAACCAGGAGCGCCAAGGGCAGGGAGAGATCGATGTCCCAGCTGAGGAGGTCAGGCAGGAAGGGGTGACTTCCTCCTTCCTCTGCTCCTCATTCTGTTCAGTCCCAAACAGAGGGGGAGGATGCCCACCCACTTCCGGCAGGGCAACTACTACTGAGTCCGCTGATTCAAATGCTAATGTCACCCGTATAGACACACTCAACCGACACACCCCCAAATCAGGCTCGATCTGGGCACCAAGGCTGGTGGAGCTGAACCGGCACAACAGAGACTCAGGCTTGAAGTCGAGTGCACTTTCCCTGATGGCTGTTGCTTGCGCTCTGCTCGACCGTGGGCCTCCCAGCCTGTGGGCGCAGCCAGGGGCTGGCGGAAGCGGTTTTTAGTTCAGAAAGTGTTTGTGGAGGAGGAAGGTTCCCTGAAGAAGTACGAGAGCAGGGGGAGAGAGTGGCGAGTGGAGAGGACCTAGCAAGCGCTGACTCCCTGTGAACCTTCTCAGGTCGAGTTTCCATGGCACCAGCGGCCCAGCAAGCCCTCTCTTCTGCTTCCTGCACCTGAAGATTGTGTTTTATTGGCTACTCTCTCCCCTGCAGAGTCACAGTGGGTGTGGAGGAAGGACACTTGGGCAGTCCACAAGAGGATTCTGGGTTCAGATCCTGATGTCATCACTTATAATATGCTTCTGGTCAGTTTGTTTACTCTCTGATCTGTTGGCAAGCTAGTTGAAAGGATACACACATGCACACACACTCTTTGCTATGTGAAAAAAGACCAATAAATGATAAGAGAGGTATAATTTCCTGCTTGGGTTTTTAATCCTTTTATTGAAGTATAATGTGTATGAACACTAGGGGGAAAAACAGGACACCTACTAAGAGGGGTTCCCAGTGGCTAACAGGGCTCAAATTAAAAAAAACAAAGAGATTATAACTCCTGGCCAAGATACACTGTGCCTTCTCGCAAACCAAAAGAAGGACAACAACAATTTAGAAACAAAAAACAACCAGAATTGACAGAAAATTGCACTGTATGGAAGTCCGACAACCAAGGAGTTAAAGAAAAAACACTCACCCAGACCGGATGGAGGGGTGGAGTTGGGCAGCTGGGCCGAGAGGACTTGCGGCAAGGCGGCAGCAGGCGAACACGGCGAGATGGTGGATTGCACACCGGGCGGCCCCACATTCCCATGCAGATAAACCAGGAGGAACAACTGGGGAACAGGACGCGCTGCACAACCCAGGGCTGCAGTTCAGGGAAATAAAGCCTCAAACCACCGATTGGAAACACCTGTGGGGGTTGAGGCGCCGGGAGAGACTCCCAGCCTCACAGGAGAGTTCCTTGGAGAGACCCACAGGATCTAGAGCGTACACAAGCCCACCCACCCAGGAATCAGCACCAGAAGGGCCCACTTTGCTTGTGGGAAGTGGGAGAAGTGACTGAAATCTGGCAGAGAGCAGAGCAAAGCACCATTGTTCCCTTTTGGACCCTCCCCGACATACAGCGTCACAACCCAGCAACATGGGTTGCTCCGCCCTGGTGAACACCTAAGGTTCCCCCCCTCACCATGTAACAGGTGCATGAAGACAGAAAAAAATGGCCCAAATGAAAGAATAGATCAAAGGTCCAGGAAAAATACAACTAAGTAAGGAAGAGACAGCCAACCTATCAGATGCACAGTTTAAAACACTGGTGATCAGGATGCTCACAGAATTGGTTTAATTTGGTCACAGATTAGATGAAAAAATGCAGGTTACACTAAGTGAAATAAAATAAAGTGTACAGGGAACCAATAGTGATGGGAAGAAAACTGAGACTCAAATCAGTGGTGTGGACCAGAAGGAAGAAAGAAACATCCAACCAGAAAAGAATGAAGAAACAAGAATTCAAAAAAATGAGGAGAGGTTTAGGAACCTTCAGGACATCTTTCAATGTTCCAACATCTGAATTATAGGGTACCAGAAGGAGAAGAAAAAGAGTGACAAGTGGAAAAGTTATTTGAACAAATAATAAAAAAGAACTTACCCAATTTGGCAAAGGAAATAGACTTCTAGGAAGTCCAGGAAGCTCAGAGAGTCCCAAAGAAGTTGGACCCAAGGAGGAACACACCAAGGTACATCATTAATTACATTAGCCAAGATTAAAATGAAGGAGAGAATCCTAGAAGCAGCAAGAGAAAAGGAGACAGAGAAGTTCCCATCAGACTGTCAGCTGACTTCTCAAAAGAGACCTTGCAGGCAAGAAGAGGCTGAAATGAAGTATTCCAAGTCATGAGAGGCAAGGACCTACGTCCAAGATTGCTCTACCCAGCAAAGCTTTCATTTAGAATGGAAGGGCAGATAGAGTGCTTCTCAGATAAGGTCAAGTTAAAGAAGTTCATCATTACCACGCCCTTATTATATGAAATGTTAAAGAGATTTATCTAAGAAATAAAGATAAAAAATGTGAACAGTAAAATGACAGCAAACTCACAATCATTAACAACCACACCTAAACCAAAAACAAACTAAGCAAACAACTAGAGGAAGAACAGAACCACAGAAATGGAGATCACATGGAGGGTTATCAACAGGGGAGTGGGAGGAGGAGAGAGGGGGAAAAAGGTACAGAGAACAAGTAGCATAAATGGTAGGTAGAAAATAGACAGGGGGAAGGAAAAAATAGTACAGGAAATGTAGGAGCCAAAGAACTTATATGTACAACCCATGGACATGAACTAAAGGGGGGAAATATGGGTGGGAGGGGTGTGCAGGGCAGAGGGGAGTGAAGGGGGAGAAACAGGACAACTGTAATAGCATAATCAATAAAATAAATAAATAAAAAACAGACAACACGGAGCCTAGAAGCCATGTCTGTACAGGGGCTCCTCACTCAAATTGCCCCTCCTGGAGGAGCCTGAACTGAACTGCCCAGCCCTGCACTGTGCTGCGGCCATCTGAGCCAGCCTTTATAAAGGTTTCCTGGAATCCTAATTTGACCAACAGGATTGAGGCTTTCCCCATCTAATCAGAGCTGTGCAGCTATGACCAGTCAGAGCAGCTCTATTCTAGCCAATCAGGACAGTGCCCTTTGGGCCAATCAAACTTCAAGGATTGAGAGCCCTCATTTTCATGAGGATGGACCAATCAGGGACCAGGAGTGGGGACTTCTAGCCCTGTAAACCAGCCTCCGGAGGGCAGTTGCCCCGTCCACGCTGGAAGGGGGACTAGGTTTCCCTGGTGGAGTGGAGCTGACCAGTGCAGTGACAAGCAGACTGACATGGAGCAGATTAGGCCGTGGAGAAGCGGAGCAGGGCTGTCTAGCCGGAGAGAAGGGCCCGGCCTCAGGGCTGCCTGGCCACACAGATGTTCTACATCCGGCTGTATCACAATTGAGCTGTTCTGCATTGAATAAACTTTCCTTCTTCACCATCCCCAAATAGGGATTTTTATTGGCATTGAATTGGTGCCAGTGACCACCCATTCACACGTAAAACAAAGTTGTGCAAATCATAAACGTACAACTCACTGAGATTTTAGAAAGTGACTCTTTTTGTGTAGCCACCACCCAGATCAGATGGTCGCACCCTTGTGTGGGTCCCTTCGGCACCATATTGGGGTGGGCCTTCGGATCCGTGGACGTGGTGCAGGAGCAATGGTATATGACTTCCAGGGGCAGGTCATAAAATAGGCTTTCTCTTAGATCTTTCTCTCTGGGAGAAGCTAGTTGTGATATCATGAAGTCACTCAGTCAGCTCTATATTTCCCCCTACTTACGAGAGAGAGAGGGAGAGAGAGAGACATTGATGTGAGGGAGGAGCACCCATTGATTGCCTCCTGGGGATCAAACCTGAAACCTAGGTATGTGCCCTGACGGGGAATTAAACACACGACCTTTCGGACAGCCCGACCAACCCAACCACACCGGCCAGGGCGCCCCATCAGCTCCCCGGAGCAAGGACCCGAGGCCTCCTGTCAAGAGCCGTGGAGGGCTCCCTGTTGGAAACAGGCCCTCCAGCCCCAGTCCAGCCTTCAGGGGAGGGCAGCCCTGGCCGACACCCTGACTACCTCTCCGTGAGAGACGCCCTGAGCCAGAACGACCCAGGTCAGCACTGAGGTATTTGCCTCTCAGGAATGGTGACACAAAAAATGTTTCCAGCTGCTAAGTTTTGGGGGATTCGTTACGCAGGTAGATATTATCCAATGTAGGGGGATCGCACTTGCCTAGGGCCAGTCTCGGCAGCCAACTCAATCGCTCAGTCACTTAAAGCCAGATTTAGCAAATATTTCTCATTAGCCAACCATTTGTCGTCACACCTGAAATTGAGCACTGGGTCATTCATTCAGGGACAAATGCCGCTATGACATAAGCTACATCCTAGTGGGGGGATGGGGAGGAACCACCCAAAGGAAGCTTGCAACCCTGTTTGGTGGACTGTGGAGGAAAGAAACAGGGGTCACTGACAAGCAGAGTGACCCTTGGAAGGCTGAGCAGGGAAGCCTTTCTAAGGAGGTGACATCCAAGTGGAAGGTGAAGAATAAGGAGGGACAAGCAGGGAGAGAACTGGGAAGAGAGGCAGGAGAGTGAAGAGCAGGTGCCAAGGCCCGGGGAGGGACGTCACTTTGGGGCGGGTGAGTGAGACCCCAGGCAGGCCCACTCAGGCCGTGAGGCCAAGCGAACAGAGTGGGCCTAATGGGAAGGACACGCAGCAAGGAATGACGTTGACTGCCCTTGACCTCTGCGGACCCTTGCTGATGAGAGGGAAAGGGCACTGGGGGCATTAGGAGAAAAAGGATGTCACCACAGTGTTCAGAGGACAGAGGACGCCTGCACGTCGGAGGGAAAGGAGGGGGAAGGGCGGCTCGGAGAGAGTTCGGTGAGGACTGATGGGGAGTGGGGACAGAAGGAGCCGTGTTGCAGGGTTCGGGTGGCGGCCGCCCTGGGGCTGTTAGTGGGCGTTGAGAGGATTTTCAGGGGGACATGCATAGACCTGGGCTGTGCAGCAGGAGGCTGAGAACCAGCGTGACCCAGGAGAGACATTAAAACAGGCCCCGCGTCTTGTCCTGCCTCCCTGCCTTTTCCACGGTAAATGGGTTCTACAGCCATAGTACCACGAGAACAAGGAGCTACTTCCTCCTCTCCCCTCACCTGCTGTGAGGAAAGGCCTGTCTCCTGTCATGGACTCCAGCCCTGAGGGACCTTAAGGGACCTGCATCCCAGGGCACCCTGACCTGGGCCCATCTGGTGAGGACAGGCATGAGAACAAATGACCCCGAGGGTCTGGGCCACATGGCTGGGTTAGGACAGACCTGCCTCCCCACCTGCTGGGAAGGGCCGTCCCATCTCTGCCCCTCAGAGAGGTCCCCGTGAACCCGAAGGGCCACCAGCAGCCAGGACCTCGGGCAGACAGGCCTCTCTTCACTTTGAGGGGACAAGGCCCAGTCTCTGCTCTGAAGGGCCCCCCACGTTCCAGGCAGTGTCCCACACCTCCGAGCCCTCCGTGCCCCACCCCCCCGCCTCTGTCCTGGGCCTCGCAGTGGAGCTGGCTTTCGGGGGAAGGATGAAAGAGTGTCGGCCACTCCACATCTGTGTCTGCAGAACAGGGAAACACGGGAGGGAGACACGGCCTTGGGTGGGACCCCAGGGCCAAGGTGGGACCTTTGAAGGCATCGGAGGCCGTCATGCCAACCTGTGTGGGAAGAACAGTGGGGTTCCCACGGGGTCAGAGCTCTCCTGGGTGCCTGGGGCCACCTGTTGGGGGGTCACAACACCTCTGTGTCACCGCCAAGGCCAGAGGGGATGAAAAGGTCTGGCTTTCCCCTGAAGGATTGCCTATCCTGACCACAAGGAAGTGACATATCACAGAGGGTGGGAACATCTGGCCAAGGAGGAAATGTCCCAGCCTGGCTCTGCTGTGTGGGGCCGAGTATGGCCGAAGGAAGGGTAGCTGTGTGCTCTGAGGAGGGGCTGCACCTCCCTGCAGAACACGGGCCCTGATCTGTCATCGGGGTCGAGGGAAGCCGAGGTCCCCGCAGGCCTGTGCAGCTTCTAGCCCCAGGCTTCCTGCCCCCCGACCAGCTCCAGCACCAGACGGGACCAGGGCTGGGCAAGGAAGCAGAGAGGCCCAGGAAAGCAGAAGCGGACACGGGAAAGCAAGCCCTCTGTGGGAGGCTGGCCCTTGTCCACACGGAGGGCTTGGTGGGGCTGCCCTTGGTGGTGTCTGTGCTGGAGCAATGACCCTGAGGGTCTGGGCCACATGGCTGCCCTCTGCTCTGTTCCTCCTCCAGGCCACAGGTGAGTGGGGCTGGGCGCAGAGTGGGAGAGGAAGGACCCAGTGGAGGTGGGTGAGGAGCAGCCGACAGGAAGGAAGGAGGACAGGGGAGGGAGAGAAGCTTCCAGGAGTGGCTCGCACCTGTCTCAGCAGCGACCCAAGGATTTAATGAACAAAGCAGTCAAGTCTCGTCCACTGTGCTGGACAGAGTGGCACTGGTGAGAGAGGGTCTGTGATTGTCACCTTAACTGTCGTAAGCGAGATGTGACCTTGGCACATTCCCCATACACTCACACACACCTGCGCACACACTGTTTTTACCCATCATGGCCCTCCTCGTCTCCAAGGACGCCCTCTCCCTGGGTCCCCTCTGGGAGGAGGGAGCTACTTCCCCCTCGCCCCTCACCTGGAAGGAGGGACGGCCTGTTTCCTGCCATGGACTCAGCCCTGAGGGCCCTTGAGAAGCCTGCACCCCAGGGCACCCCAACCCGGGCTCATCTGGTGAGGAGTGGGGACTGGGCTGTGTCTTCCAGGCTGCTGGTCCCTGAGCGGCCCCCACACCGTGAGGGGCACCGTGGGGGGATCCCTGAGTGTGCAGTGTCGGTACGAGGAGGAGAAATTCAGAGAAAATAACAAATACTGGTGTGAAAGCCCATGTCTGCGTCTGCTGAAGAAGAAGATCGTGGAGACCACGAGGTCAGAGAGAGAAGTGAGAAACGGCCGCGTGTCCATCAGGGACCATCCAGCAAACCTCACCTTCATCGTGACCTTGGAGAGACTCACAAAGCGTGATGAAGGCAAATACTGGTGTGCGATCGATGCATCACTGAGCCAAAGAATTCTGGACCCCAAATTCGAGGTTGAGGTGATTGTGTCCCCAGGTGAGCCCCACGCCCCTGCCCTTGTCCCAGTGCCAGGCTGCCTGACTTGTACCTGGTCACCCTGTCGGTCAGGACAGACGTGGAAGGACACAGTGTGTGTGTGCTGTGTTGTCTGCACAGACATGCACACACACAAACACACCTCTGGCTGTTCCAGAGCCCTCTGAGCGCCACGCCCTCACACAGGGTCCGGCCTGGGTCTCTCCTGGGTGGGGCTGGGTGAGAACAGCCCGACTCCAGAGACAGTGCTGCCCTCTGGTCCTCACAGGGGCCGTGTCCACTCTGAAGGGGACCCTGTGTCTCTCCCTGCTCTTCTCTCGGTTGTCCCTATGGGGACGGCACAGCTGGGACATTTCTCCTCTCACCACAGGCCGTCCTGGACTTGGTCTGCAAGAGGACGTCACTGTGGGTGGCTCCCGGGCACCAACCTCTTGGCCGTGGTCCTGGGCATCTGCAGCAGCCATAAGAGTGGCTCAGGAGAAGCCCCTGGGCCCCAGTGCAGGGCTCCTGGGGTGTTTTGGGGATCGCCCTGTCCCTTAGGGCTGACCCTGCTTCTCCCCCCCTTTCTCTGAGACCTTGTGCCCCCGAGAGGTTAGCCCAGAGACACCCCTGACGATTCCTCCCTCAGACAAAGGAGAAGAAAGAGGGTGGGGCAGGCTCTCCTGTGTTATGCCCCTGAACTTGCTCCCAAGTTCTCCCAGTAACTCTCCTTTGCCTGTCGCGGCACCTGTTTCCGAGTTAAGAGCACCTGACTCCGCACACAGACTTTTCCCTGCACTCTTCCTCCAGCGTGGTCCCAGCTCCACCCACTTCCTTCTTGCGGTTCCTAGTTTCTCATTCTCACGTTCTCACCCGGGAGGCTCCTCAGTGCCCCTTGCGAGTTCCCATTTAGGAGGGAGGAACCGGGGCCCCACCGAGACCTCTGGGTGTGTCAGGGGGAGGGGTTTGTCCAGTGACCTCCAGGGCAGGCCACGTTCTGTGGGGCTCACTCACCGTGTCTCTCTAGATCTTTCTTTCTGCTCATGTCCTCTTCCAGAGAGGACGGCTGTGGCGGCCTGCGGGGGCCGTAAGCCTGGCTGACAGTGTGGGGGACTGAGTGGACATTCTGGGCACGCTGCTACAACAAAACACCATGGACTGGTAGCTCACCCACTGCAGAGAACCCTCCAGGTTCTGGAGGGGAAGCCCGACTTGGGGGGGGGCAGCCTGTGGGGCCCTGCTCCCCAGGCTATAGTCCTGCTGCACCTGTGGTGGCCGGCCCTCCCTTATCAGGGTGCTAATCCCCGTGATGAGGGCTCCACCCCTATGGCCTGGCCACCTCCCACTGGCCTCCTAATCCCATCCCACTGGGCGTAGGGTTCCCAATGAAAGAATCTGGGGCACACAAACATTCAGACCGTAGCCTGGCCTAAGGGATCGTGGGGTCCCGTCCTTCAGGGTTGACCCTGCTGTGTGTCCCTGTTGCCTGTGAGTCTCATCAAGCCATCAGCCCTGCCTGTGGGCCCTGGCCACCCAACCACTCTGGTCAGTCACTACTGAGTAAATGCCAGCCCGTCCCCTGCCCTGCAGGGTGGACGAGGAGGAGCCAGGAGTGGCAAGCGTGTGACAGACACTCATACCCTCTGTTGAGCAGGGCGACTCTGCATCTGAATGTGCCACCAGGCCACAGGGCCCCTGGAGAGGGCCCTGGAGGGTCCAGGGGCAGGTCTGGCCTGGCTGCGGCCACAAGGGGGCGGTGGACACAGCACATCCTTCCAGATGGCCTGAGGGCCTGGACTGGTTGAGTCAGAGCCTCGAGGCTGAAAGAGTGGGAGACGGGGGCGCGCAGCGGGGGAAACTGCCCAGGGTCTGACAGGTGCTCCTCCCTCAGCCCCCACACCCACACGGAAGATCTTCACCAGCACCCTGGGCCCGCCCTCCTCCTCCCTGCCAGCAACCACCTTGCTCTATACGACGAGGCCGGAGACCCCCGATCCCCACCAGCACCCCCGGTAAGCGCACCTGCCTCCTGGAATTTTGATACCTGGTGGGTTCTCCTCTAGACAGGAGTGGGAGGGAGGTTGGGAGGGTGGTTTTATTTCCTTTCCCAGCCCCTCTTTTATTCATTGACCTCACACCCAACTATGAGGCTCCTGTTGCGTGCCGGGCCCCCCTCTCAGCTTTGGGGTGCAGCTGGAGCCTCCCAAACAACGTAGCTCTCCGACAGAGGTCATGTTCTAAGGGGTAGAGTCAACAAGGAACCATCCCACACCCGCGCTGCTGCCAGTGTGCCCACTCATGGTGGAGGCCTGGCGGAACCACGGGGCCGGGGAGAGCTGAGGCCGCTGTTCACTACAGGGAGGCCTCGCTGATGAGTGGCCCTCTGATGGACACCAGCAGGGTTTGGTGGGGGGGCGGCACTCAGGTGTCTGCAGAAGCAGGGCTCCAGGCAGAGGGAGGAGCGAGAGCAAGACCCTCTGGGACACAGGCTCAGGCCTGGGCAGGGAGCGGGAGCCCTGGGGCTGGTGGCCTCCCCAAGCCGGGTCACAGTATCGTCCGTCCCGTTGGAGAACACAGGCCTCTGAGGGAGGCGGGAGCTGAGCGGGGTCATTCCCTCCTTCCATCAGTAGCCACTAAATCTCCATCAGTGCTAATGTTTGGGAGACATTGGCCAGGTGCTGATTACTTGCTGTGAATAAACTAGAACAGTCTGCACCCTGTGGATTGCGTGGGCTGCAGGAGAGAAGATGTCCAACCACCATGCACGCTGTCAATTCCTTACTGCAGGTGGGGCGACCTGTGCATGTGGAAGGCTGAGGACACACCCTTCTCCTGGGCCTGGGGCCCACCTGAACCCCCGGGTCTAATGGCAGCGCTTCCCCGTGTCCACAGTCCCAATCCTCAAGGGCAGCTGCTGGCCGGAGAGGTGGGGGACAATGGTCCTTCAAGTGGGGCTGCCCTATCATCTGTGGTTGATCTTTATAGGGACCCTGTGGCCTCAGGACCTGGGCTGAGGGACAGGGGGAAAGTGGAGGGCACCGGGGCTGTCCCCTGAAGAGGCGGCTCACTGGGTGTCACTGTGTCCCCTGCAGGGCCCTGCTCAGCAGCGTCCACTTCCTGCTCCTGGTCTTCCTGAAGCTGCCCCTGTTCCTGAGCATGCTGGGGGCTGTCCTCTGGGTGAACAGGCCTCAGCGGGGCTCTGCAATGGGTGGGCCGCCTCATTCTGAGAACCAGTAACACCTGTTGTCACTGATGCTCTGGCCAAGGACACAGCCCCGGATGGGAATGACCTTGTGACTAATAAATCCAATATCACTGTCCATGTTTTTGTCCGAACACTCTGTAAACGGATTAGAAAGATTTTTCTTGCAATGTAGCGGACATACAAAAATATACCTAGTAATGCACACTCTTGAAGCCAGGTAAGAATGCACGCTCATGAAGCCAGGTGTGCCCTCCAACCCGTGCGTGCCCCCTTGCAGCGTCACTAATAAACCTCATCGATAGTTCTGTAGCCCCAAGTTCTCCGCGAGGGAAGCCGACTCGGAACTTCACATTCACCCCCATCCGTGTTTTCTCCACCATTTTGCCCCATATGGTCATAGGTATTTCCAGAGTATAGCATATATGTTTCACAGTTCCGGAGATTACTTTATTTTTAGTCTTTCTGCTTCATTTAAATATAACTGACATATAGCACTGTGTAGGTTTAAAGTGCACAGTGGTTTCACTTGCTACACTTATTTATTTTAAACGCAAAATGATTAGCCCTGTAGCTCAGCCAACATCTCCACTGTGTCACGTAATGTCCATTGCTTTTTTGAAGAAATGGTGAGATGTTAAATGGTGAAAACATTTTTTTCTGAGATTTTATTTATTTATTTTTAGAGAGAGGGGAAGGGAGGGAGAAAGAGAGGGAGAGAAACATCGATGTGTGGTTGCCTCTTGAGCGCCCCCTACTGGGGACCTGGCCCACAACGCAAGCTTGTGCCCTGACTGGGAATCTATCCAATGACCCTTTGGTTTTTAGGCCAGCACGCGACCAACTGAGCCACACCAGCCAGGGCTCTTAGCAACTTTTAAGTGCGTACATAGTATTAGTAGCTATAGTCTCTGTTGATACATTAGATCCCCAGAGTTTATCTTTTAACTGCGAGTTTGCGCCCCTTGACCGGTATCTCCCCACGTCTCCTACCCCTGGGGCCCTGCTGGCCACAGCTGCACTGTGTTCCATCTTTTTTAGGTCCCACATACAAGTGACATCACGCACTCTGCTCCTGTCTCAGTCTGACTTATTCCACGTAGCACAATGTGCTCAAGATCCATCCACGTTGTTACCAGCAGCAGGGTCCCCTTCTTGCTCATGGCTGCGTAATATTCCACTGTGTGCCCGCACCGCATCTCCTCCACCCATTCATCTGCTGTTGGACAACCAGGTGCTTCCATGTCTTGGCCGTTCCTAGGAGTGGGGTGGATAGATCCCTGGGCACCTCCTTTTTGAATTTCTCTTTGTGGGACCTCTGTACTGCTTGTTTTCCATCATGGCTGTGCCCATTGGCATCTTCACCAACAATGCACTAGGGCTCCTCCCTCGCTTCACGTTCTTGCCGACACCGGTTCTAGCTTGCCTTCTCGGTGACAGCCATTCCAATGAGGGTGAGGTGAGAGCTCGCCGTGGTTTGCATTTGCATTCCCTGCTGGGTAGCAGCGTGGAGCGCCTTTGCATGGACCTGTGGGCCATCCCTGTGTCATCTTTGGAAAAACGTTCAGGCCCTCGGCCCAGTTTTTAAATCGGACTGTTTGGGGTCTTATGGTGTTGTGACTGAGGTATCTTTATATCTGTGGAATTTTAACCTCTTATCTGATGTATGATTTGCAAATCTTTTCTCTCATTCTGTAGGTTGCCTTTCTACGGCATTAACTGTTTCCTTTGCTGTGTGCAAGGTTTTCGGTTTGGTGGCACTGCACTTCATTTTGGCCTGTGTTGTTTGTGGTTTTGGTGTTACGTCCAGGAAGTCACTGCCGAGGCCCATGTGTTTGTTTTCCTCTAGGGATTTCACCGTTTAAGGTCTTACTTTTAGGTCTTTAATCCACTTCGACCTATCTTTGCAAGTGGTGTCCGACAGGGGTCCCATTCCATTTCTCTGCACGTGGTTATCCATTTTCCCAGCTCCACTGCTGGAAGAGACCACCCCAGTCAACTACACGTGCAGGGGTTTACCTGTGGGCTTTCGATGCCGTTGCCCTGGCCTGTGCGTCTGTTTTCATGTCACATCACACTCTTCTGATTACTGTGTATTAGTGACACGTTCGGAATCAGGACGTGTAATGCCTCCAGCTCCGTTCTTTCCAATATCAGTGCGGACGTGGCTACTGAAGTCTTCTGTGGTTCCACCCCAATTTTAGGACTGATTTTCTACTTCTGTGAAAAACGGGATCGGCATTTTGATAGGGACCCAATTGGATAAGTAGATGGCTTCAGGTAGTATGGACATTTTAACAGTATTATTTCTTCTGATCCGTGGACACGAAATATCTTGCCTTTTACCTGTGTCTTCTTAAATGTCTTTCTTCGATGTCTTATAGTTTCCAGTATACAGGTCTTTCACATCCTTGGTTAAATTTATCCCCAAGTATTTTATTGTTTTCGATGCCATTGTAAGTTGAGTCGTTTGCTGTATGTATTTTTCAGGTAGTTTGCTGTTAGTATACAGAAATGCAACCGATTTTTGTGTCTTACAACTTTACTGAATTTGTTTATTAGTTCTAACAGGTGTTTGGCCTGGACTTTAGGGTTTTCTATGTATATATAAGATCGTGTTGTCTGCAAACAGAGACAGCTTTACATCTTCCTTTCTGATTTAGATTTCTTTTTAAAAAAGAAATCCCACCTAATTGCTCTGGAAAGACTCCCAGGACTGACTGTGTTGAACAGAAGTTGCCAGAGTGGGTTCCTGACCTTGGAGGAAAAGCTGTAAGCCTTTGAGCCCTGAGCAGGATGTGAGGTAAGGGCTTGTTATCAGCGGCCTTTATTATGTTGAGGTAGGTTCTTGCATCACCCGCTTTGCTGAGAGCTTTTTTCTCGTGAAAGGATGCTGTGGTTGTCAAATGCATCTACGGAGATGTTTGTATGATTTTCACTTGTCATTCTGTCAACGTGGTGTATCACGTCGATTGGGTTGCTTTTCTTGCATCCCTGCATCCCAGGGATAAACTCCACATGGTCTCATGTGTGGCACTTTCCCTTAAAGCCTAATTTATCTGATAGGACCTCTGTTCTCCTTTGGTTTCTGTGCGATGGAATATTCTTTTTTCATCTCTTCACTTGGAGTGAGCCTACATGTCCTTAAAGCTGAAGTGAATCTCCTGTAGGCAGCAAATAGTTTGGCCTCATTTATTTTTTAAATTATTTTATTTATTTATTTTTCGAGAGAGGGGAAGGGAAGGAGAAAGAGTGGGAAAGAAATATCAATGTATGGTTGCCTCTTATGCGTCCCCTGCTGGGAACTGGCCTGCAACCCAGGCATGTGCCCTGACTGGGAATCGAACCGTGATACTCTGGTTCACAGGCCCGCGCTCAATCCACTGAGCTATGCCAGCCAGGTGGCCTTATTTTTTTAAAAAATCTATCCAGCCCCTCAATGCCTTTTGATTGGGCTATTTATTCCATTTAAATGTAAAGTAATTATTGATGGGTAATAACTTTCCTTTGCCATTTTATTAGTTGTTTCCCAGCTGTTGTGTAGTTCTCTGGTTTCATTCTCTCTTGCGGACTTCCAGTGTGAATTAATGATTTTCCATAGTAGTAGGTCTTGATTCCCTTTTTCATCTTTTCTGTATCTACCATAGGTGTTGCTTTATGGCTACTATGAGGCTTATGTAAAACACCTCGTAGATATAACAGTCTATTTTAAGTAGGTAACAACTCCAGCCACATATAAAAGCCTACCTTTGATACCACGATTTCCATCTGTTTATGTTGTGTAGCCGTCATCAAATTACTGTAACTGTAGTTATGTTCATACTTTAACCTTATATTAGAGTTCTTTAACCTTGTACATAGAGTCTTGTCTACACAGAGCAAGCCTACTAAAATCTAAATCTTTTCCGCCTTATATGTAGACAATCAATTCATATATAACTAGTTAAAATTTTGCTTCTTCCTTTCCTCTGCCCCTGTCCTTTGTTCCTTTTTCTGGTCATGTGGCAAAGGTTAACCGAAGTGTCCCATCCAAGTGGCGACTGAGAGCACCTTGCCCTCTTCCTGCTTCTGAAGGGAGGGCTTCTCACCACCGGGCGTTGGTTTCACGTCAGTTTCACATCGCCAGAATGTTTGCCTGCAGGTCCCCTTCTCCTCTTAGTTTATCACGGAAGGTGATGGATTTTGTACAGTGCTTTTCACATGGGTCTTTACATGATTACGTGATTTTTCTCCTTTGTCCTGTGAATATGATGAACTATATACATTTTCATACTAAAACGAACTTGCTCCCCTTTCCAGGAGAATTGAAAATGGAGCAACTATCTGGCCCAATCCTGTGTGACAAAATGCGGATGAGACTCACATCCCAGGTGCCTTCTCTGGGTCCCTGGGCCCTGACTCGGCCCTTTGACCTCTCCCAGCCCTTCTTCTTTTTTTTTTTTAATAAAGATTTTATTTATTTAGTTTTAGAGGGAGGGGAAGGGAGGAAGAGGTGGAAGAGAAACATCAATGTGTGGTTGCCTCTTGTGCATCTCCTACTGTGGACCTGGTCTGCAACCCAGGCATGTGCCCTGACTGGGAATTGAACCGATGACCCTTTGGTCTGCAGGCTGGCACTCAGTCCACTGAGCCACACCAACCAGGGCTCTCCCAGCCCTTCTGAGTGGGTCCTGAGCCACTGCAACCCCGGCACTTCCTGAGAGAGCCCCACCCCCACAGCTGGCACCGGACACCCAGGACGGATGCCCTCACCTGCCTCCCCAAATTGTTCTCGAGTTTAACGACTGCGTTATGAATCATGCTCCTAAGTCAATTATACCAGGTTAAGGACAAACTTGTCTTGCTGCTAGTGAGGAAACCCAGCTCGCTGAGCTCCCCTCCGCTGCTGCCCTGGGCTGGCTTTGTCTGCTCTTCGCACCGTGTTGGAAGTTTGACCCACGGCACGGATGGTGTCTGGAGCACTAACCCTGCCGCAGGACATGTTTTCTCATTAAATTCTCACAGTGACTTTTCTTCCTCCTGCCCCCACTGGCTAGTCCAGAATGGCCCTTCTCTACAGGACCCTTGGCTGGCTCACAGGTTGCTGGGCAAGGTTGGGGGATGGGTCTCAGTGCACTTGGCTGATTCCGCCGGGGGCTCTGCGGCTTCCACCAGGTGCATTGTGGCTGCTGGGCCACTTACTGGTTTGGGTAAAGCCGAGCCTGCCTGGTACCAGCATCTCTAAGAGCCTCTTTGGCCCCTCCCTGCCGTGGCTTCTGCCCCCACATGCAGGGCATGGCCACAGATGTGCCACAGCTGTTTGCAGGTCTGGGCTGAATCTGGGGACAATTTCACGGGGTTGGCTCACAGTGTAATAGATGTGAAAAATGCCGGGTGCTGTGTCCTAAGGCCACATTGGATTTCAAGTGATAATTTTAACGTATGGCCCTATTTCTCCCTATGGGTATGGGGAGGCAGGTTCCAATCGTAACAACTTCTATGAGCCCAACTTACAGATGCAAAAACCAAAGCCCAGAAAGTTTAAGAGAATTGCCTGCGGTCACACAGCTTGTAGATGGTGCTTCTGGGATTAGAACCCAGGTCTGGCTGACCCCACAGCTGCGCGTACGCACTTGGTTGTAACACCTGAACAAATGCATCTCCAGGTTTGCCCAGCATAAGCACCTGAGTTGAGGGCGAAGGGGCAGTTTCCTGCCACGGGAGACCCATTATCGCAGCGGCGAGCCATTTCTGGAGTTGCAGGCTGTTGGTCCCTTGAACGCAAGGCCTCGTAGGCCAGCTGTCCCCTCTGGATTCTTCTGCAGACATCTCTCCCGCTGGCCCTGCTCACCCAGCACAGTCCCCTTGCTTCCTCTTTCCTGCTTAGTGGGGACTCCAGGGTCCTCTGACACAGACGTGCTAAGAAATGACACTCCTTTTGCGGAATAACTAACAGCAGGAAACACTATAAAAGGAAGTGAACAAGTGAGAAATTCAGAGGTCATCTAGCCAAGCAGAAGGTGCAGACCTGGGCTCAGGCAGAGCTCCAAGTGTCCCGCTGCGGCGATCCAGGGGCGCTCTCTGGTCTTCGCTGACAGGGGCGAGGAACCGGGAACAGGACCATGTGGCTGCTGTCCCCCACTCTCTTCCTTCTCAGCCTCCCAGGTGAGTGCCGGGGGAACTCAGAACTACAGGGGCCGGACAGGTGGGCAGAGAGCATCTGTCCCAGGTACCAGGGGAGGTGTCCCGTCTGGGGAGATGAGAGCTGGCCTTGTTAATTCACTCAGCAAAAGCGCATGGGGGTCCTACCAGGTACCAGGCACGCTTCAGGCTCCGAGGACGTGAAGGGAAGAGAAACGGGACTAGTGAAAAGAGGACCCCAGACAGCTCAGTGGGTGAGGCATACAGACCAACAACGCCGGTGGGAGGACGCAACAGGGCACCGGCGGAGGTGTGCTGGGTAGGGGTGGGCTGAACGTGCACTCGCAGGCACGCCAGGTGACGCAGACGCTCGCTCACACCTGCACAGTCAGGCGCATGCGCACACACAGTCTCCTGCCCACGTACAGGGCCACGCAAACACTTCTCCCCCGGACCCTCATAGTGGGTCTGGGGCTTGGGGAGGGGGAAATTGCCATGGAGACAAGACAGGGGGCCCTCCTGTCCCCTCCAACTCTGCGTTAACTTGGAAAGGGGGTGAAGCTAGAGAAGGCAGAAAGAAAAGCCACCTGCCGCGTTTTCACCTGTGGGCTGCCATTAGCCAGCTCGGGGTCGCTTCTGTGAAATGAAGCCGAGAAAGGGGATGGGGTGAAGTCAGAATAACCCAACTTCCGGTAGGGCGCTGGCTCTCTTTTCTGCTCCTGGACATGCGCCCCCAGCAACCCTGGGGGGACTGGCATAGAGTAGGTGCTCCTAAGTGTTTGCAAGTGCAAAGACAGCCCCCCTTTCTCCCAATGAGGAAAGTGAGGCGAGATTCCAGGGGCACAGAGCTGCACCCCAGAAAAGATTGCCGAGCTCGGGCTGGCCGAATGCCCGGGTCGTCCGCAAGAGCCTTGCACCACAGAGTGCAGATAAGACGAGCCCCAAGCCCGCTGCGGCACAGCCCAGGCCCCGGACCGCCTCCTCTGAGCTCTCCCCCCTGTGCCTCGTTTTCTGTGAGTTTGTTAGCGGCTGTCAGCTGTCGCACAGACACAGAGCCCCAGGATTTCTCTATTTGGGGACGACACTGTTTACAAAGACTTCGCCCACGTGGCAACTCCTCCTGAAGGGTCTGACAGAAGAGGAAGTTTACATCTCAGATCCATGGAAACGGAAACCTGAAATTCAAACAACCTGATGCTTTTCAAACCCCTTGGCCCTGTTCCCCAGAGCTCGGCTGACTGCTCTCCTGTCATCTCTCTCTTCCTCCAACAAACTCTCCAGTTCCCATGGACCTAATTAACTGCTCCATCCACCATGGTCTGGGCTTATAAAAACCTCCCACATAATTTTTTAACCATGAGCCCTATCCCGTTGGGAGCGATTTGCTGGCAGATTAAGTTAGCAAAACTGGGAGGGATGAACGTGCGGTTTCGAAGCAGCCACATCTCTTTCCTGCTGTGTGAGATTAAACCCCTGCTGTCTCCTGCAGCCGAGCTACTTTTCTCTGAAGAAAGAAAAAGCACCCCTCCACCCCCCCCACCCCATCTACTGACTTGTGCGTTTGGTTTTAATTCACATCAGTTGGTTTTAATTCACATCAATTCACATCAGTTTTAATTCACATCAGTTTAATTCACATCTCCTAAATGACTCCTACTTTTTATTTTTTTCAATATTATCTTTATGGTTGTATCAGTCAATGGTATTATAAACATTTTAGCATAATAGAAACATACTAACCACTGCTTAAAGTTTAGAACACATATTTTCAGATTTTTTTCCCTACTCTGGGCAATGGAAAAAAAACTGCACAGAAATGGAATCATACACACTGCGTGTTAAGCAAATTTCTGACCTAGTAATAATTTACCTGGGACATCTTTCCCTTTCTATTCTGTGATTCGTGTTCTTCTTCTTAATCATGGACCGAGCCAAATAATTAAGCCAATCTTCAGTTCACGGCATGTGCGTGTTTCCAGCCTTTACTATTTATTACTTTAGCACTGCAGCGAGCTTCCTTTAACTTGTTGTCCAGGGGTGTGGAAATCAGAGTTCATCCTAGAATCAAAACGATGATGTCCAATGTCTTGCCAAGAACAATCATCGTACCCACCAGGATGCAGGCGCTGTACCAGGCACGGCGGGGGGGGGGGGGGGCGGGGGGGGGGAAGAGAGAACAAAACACACACAAGGCCCCTGCTCTTTGGGACAGAGCCTCCCCGAGGAGGGGACAGGGAGAGATGGCTAAGGATGGTAGCCCCCTACGTGGCGCTCAGGTCGCCACAAAGGGCGCGGGGCCAGCAGATCTGTTGGGAAGGGGAGTGAGACTTTGCAAAGCAGGCTGGGCCTGGGGGGTCGTCAAGGGAGACAGTAGATGGCAGGGATCAGAGAAGAGGTTTCGGGGGGGGGAAGGACGTGAGCAGTGACACGGCCGCCTCAGAGTCAGGGAAAGTGGAGAGTGGGTGGGGGTCACGGGGTCGAGTGGGAGGCAGGAGGGGGCCGGGAATGGCACTGATGGAGACCATGGGTTGGGACTGCAGAAAGCCAAGGGCCAAACCAGGGCATTTTGAATTGTCATGAGACCGTGGGGCGGGGAATGGCGGCAGGAGAGGCCCTGGAAGATTTAGAAATTTTTTAAAATGTATTTATTTTTAAAAAATTCATTGTTTAAAAACGATTTTTATTTTTCACTTACAGTTGCCATACAGTATTACATTAGTTTCAAGTGTGCAGCACATGACCAGACATTTGTAGACCTGATGCAGTGACCCCCCCCCATTAAATCCAGCCCCCGTCTGACACACACATGGTGATCGCAGTGTTGCGGGCTGCGTTCTCGGTGCTGCCGTTTGTAACTGCATGGCTGTTTGGTAACTGCCGATCTGAGCTTCCTAAGACCTTCCCCTTTCACCCACCCCCTCCCTCCTTATCTGGAAACCATCTATTTGCTCACTCTGGCCCTGAGTCTGTTCCTGTCTTGTTTGCTTGTTTGCTTTGTTGTGTGGGTTCACAGCTACGTGAGACCAGAGGTATTTGTCTTTGTCAGACGGTATTTGCTTCATCTCACTCAGCGCTGTACCCTCCAGGCCCATGTCCCAAATGGCGGGATTTCGTTGTCTGTTTTATGGCTGAGTCATACATATTCCACCGTATATAGGTAGCACATCTTTTTTTGCCCATTTGTCTACTGGTGGACACTCAGGCTGCTTCCTGAGAGATTTTCAAGTGCTCGCTGCAATCCCCGGGTGAGGACTAGGTAGGGACAATTTCAGGACATAGCTCCGGCGGCCCTACGCAGGGGAGACTGGGGGAGGGAGCTGCAGGAGGGGGAGAACCTCTCCAGGTGCCAGGACCTCGATGCATGCACCAGATGAGCCCCTGACCTGTGGACGGTGGGCGTCTGGGGTTGGACACATGCCCGGGCCATAGGGACGTGGAGGGTGGAGCAGAGCGGCGCCATTTTACACACAGAGAAGCAAGACTTACCCAGGGTTTCCCAACTTGTTCGTAGTAGACGTGTCTCTCTGTGTACAAAGGTCCTTCTCTTTCTGCTCTGCCATGCTGTCCTCTTGGACTGTGACCGCAGAGAAGGGAAGAAGAAGATCATTCTGAGAAGCACTTTGGGGGTAGACGTGACTACACCGGCCGCCAGGCAGTCGTGGAGGGAGGAGCGGAGTCGGGCTCAAGGAGGACGCCAGGTTTTCTAGGCAGGTGTGTGGGTGCGGTTGCTGGTTCAAGAGCATGAGGTGGGCGCTGCTGATTGAATACTTCGTTACTCTTCGTTATAAATTTATTATCTTAGTAATGATTCTGAAGTTCAGAAGCCCACCCTGGTCCGAGTCGCTCAAAGCAAGGTGTAGGCAGGCTCCACTCCTTGTAGAGGCTCTAAAGAAGGATGCTTCCTTGCCTTTCCCAGCCTCTGGAGGCTGCCCGCACCCTTGGTTCAAGTCCCCTGGCCCTGTCTTCACAGCCCTCTCTGACTCTGGCGTGAACTTGTAAGGACCCTGGTGATGGCACTGGGCCCGCCTGGATAATCCAGGTTGACGTCCCTTCATTTAGTCCCACTTGCAAAGGCCCTTTTGCCACATGAGATGACATGGCCGTAGATTTGGGAGATTGGGACGTCACTGTTTTGGGAGGATTATTCTTCCTACCGCACAATTCAAAGCTCCAAGTCACTGAAAGAGCTTCAGGCTGAAGGTCTGAGGTGTGGGGAGGCGGCACCTTCCTGGGGCCGCACAGAGACACCCGCTCCCCGGCCCCCAGCTTGGCCCCGAGACTCGGGGGCTATGGGTGGGTCAAGAGAGGCTTCTGCTGTGCTTCTCCAAGCGTATTCATTTCCATGGGGCCAAGGCACCCACGGCCATTGCCAAGGATGGAGAGGACAGCAGGACGCCCATGCAGCTCACACGCAGGCCTAAGCTGTCTATCCGCTTCCCGTCAGGCTGCTGCTCGCCTGTCCACGTGGACCCTCTCCTCCAGGGAGGGATCCAGAGCGTATTAGAGAATGGTAGGCTGGAGCCAAGGGGGGAATTGGGGCTACGAATAACAGATTTGGGAGTTGTCCGCACGAGGGCAAAGGGCAAAAACCAAAACCAAAACCACGGAACCAGAGGCTCACTCCTTGGGACTGGACTGGAGTGAGATGAGCTGAAGGCTGAAGAGAGAGCTCTGGGTGCCCGTCCCCCCCCCCCCGCCCCGCCCCCCCCCCCCAGGTGTGCTGGAGCAGCTCACACTGGGTTACCAGGACAACTCTGTGTCCAGTGACATCACGCTCTGAGCACCTGCAATCAGCCACTACGGGGAGTGCAAAGTAGCCAGGGACCCTGGCCCAGTGGACATCAGACTGGAGCCACCGAGTGGACATTGAACACGGAGCTGAAGCGACCTGGCCAGGGCTCTCCTGGGCCGGACCCAGGTTAGCAGGGCAGGGTCTGTATCTTGCCATTCTGTTTTCCAGGCTGTTTTTCCATCCGAGGCCCGGAGTCCGTGAGCGGCAGGGAGCGGGGCTCGCTGACCGTGCAGTGTCACTACCGGCCCGGATGGAAGACCTACAGGAAGTACTGGTGTCGAGGAGCTCACTGGTTATCTTGCCAGGTCCTCGTTGAGACCACAGGATCAGAGCAAGAAGTGACAAAAGACAGGGTGTCCATCAGGGACAACTGGAAAAACCACTGGGTCGTGGTGACCATGCGGGACCTCGGGCAAGACGACAATGACACCTACTGGTGTGGGATTAACAAGCTCATAACTGACCGTGGAGCATCCATTCGGGTGATGGTTGTCCCAGGTAAGGGCTTCCTCATCTCCCCTCTGTGGCCCTTTGCTCAGGACTGGAAGAGGAAGGGTCCTCCCTCCCTGCTTCCCGGGGCTAGAAGGGGAACAGCCAAATTCCTGGGAACCAGCAGGAGGGAGGGTGAGAGACAGGCAGCAGATGGGGTGGGGGCGGCGGGCAAAGGAGGGAAACTGCGGCCCAGCAGCCTGTACACTGCTGTTAGGGTTGCAGCCCCAGAGAGACAGGGGCTGCCAAGGGTGGAGGGAGCTGGAGAGGGCCAGCCAAGCAAAACGCCCCCAGGGCCACCCAGTAGGGGAAGCCAAGATCTGCAGGGATGCAAAAGGGACTGATGCAAACGGGTGGGCAGGGACCTGGACAGGCTGAAAGTGTGTACCAAGCAGAGCTGCAGGAAGAAAGGCGAACAGGGGTCTTGGGCGGGAGCTGGGAGGCACCAGCCCACGGGCGATCGGTGGCCTTCAGGAACCATGGTGACCTCAGTCCCCTGGAGCTCAGCCCGGAGCTCCCGGCAGGAGCAGAGGTGGGGCCTGTCAGGGCAGTGCCCCAGACCGAGGACCGGTGCTGGGCTGGTCTCAGGAACCCACGCCCAAGCTCCCCATAAACTGTCTCACAATTTCCTGTAAAGATGTTCCATTCTCCATGTCGCTGTGAGCTACCAAACCAGAGCGTGCCCTGTTATTCTCCAGCTTTCGGGGGCTCCACCCCTCAGCACCCCAATAACCAGAGGCCCCCTTTGTAGAACTGTCTGTCCCTGAACACTGCCTGAACAAAAGACTGGGGTTCCCCCCCCAAACCAACAGTCCCATTCAGAGGAGGAAGTGGAGAGGTTATGAAAAGACTGATCTCTTGCCTCAGGATAAACTCAAGTGCCTACTCCCATTTCATTTTTATTTCTTCTTGCCACACCTGAAAATGATGGGAACAATAATTGTGTTTGAGGTTCGGATGACCCCATAGAAAGGGGAGAAGCCCCAGGGACCAAGCTTCCCAATCCAGGGCGGGGTGGGGGGGGTGGGGGGGTGGGGGGGTCTCGTGGTGGGTGGAGGCTAAGCAGGGCAGGGGCGGCGGTGGCCCTGGTGTATCGTGCACCAGCCCCTGGTCTGTGCTAATAGCCTGTGGCCGACTTTGCCTGTGCCTCTGTCCCCCTCCCAGGGAACGTGGTATCCAAGCCCACTGTCGACAGCCATGCAGAGTTGTTCTTTGGCTTCCACATCCGGTGAGTGGCTTCAGTCCTTTCTTCTGTCCTTACCTGGGGCCTCTCCCATGGGACAGCTGAGCCTGGGGACCCGGCGTAGTCGCCTGTCAGGCAGCACGAAGGCCCGGAGCCCTGGCCCGCCTCACTGCTCGCCCGCCCCGCCCTCGCCAGTCGACTGCTGTGAGGAAGGCCAAGTGCTCCTCTGTGGCGTTATGTCCTGCTCAGGGGCCTGGCGGGTGCCGAGGGGGGAGATAATTTACAAATCTCCACAATGCAAAGGGCCAGGTGCCACAGAGAAGGAGAGTGACTGTGCAGAGCAGCGAGGACACAGGCCAGCATCCCGTCCTGGGAGGCGGCTGCGCTGCTCCTGCCCGTGGGGCACAGGAGGCCCCGGAAGGAAGCAAAACCAAGGAGCTGAAGCCACCTCTGAGGAGCCGTCAGGGCCGAGCCCTTGAGGGAGCGCACACGGGGTGGGGAAGGGGGCTTCCGGGTGGGGCCGCCAGCTGGGGTCACGGGCTTGGCTGGGCTGGGTCGTGCTCCGGTGTGAGGGCATGGGAGCCACAGGGCCCTGACCGCTCTGTCTGCTCCGACAGAAACCACTACATGCTGCTGGTGTTCGTGAAGGTGCCCATCTTACTGCTCGTGGTTGGTGCTGTCCTCTGGCTGAAGGAGCCTCGGAGCATCCCCAAGGAGCAGCAGGAAGAGCCCATCTATTCGAACTTGTCCTGTGACCTGACCACAGACGCAGCCCCTTAAGATGGACGGATGAGAAAACCCTTTCGAGCCTGGACACCATTCCCAGGAGAGACACGAACTGGGGAAGGAACCCCTCGGACACCTCCGGGTCCTCTGGGGGCTAGCCAACTCCCTCCCTGCTCTGCTCAGCTCAGGGACACAGCTCAGCTCCTCCCCAGGCGTCACCGGTGCCAGCGGGGCCAGCATGGCCAGCACGGCTGGCACCTTGCTCCACTTCTTTAGGTGGAAAACAGCCCACCCCACCCCCCAGGGGTCTCCAGGTCCTGAGCTGCTGGGTTGGAGCCCAAGCTGGGACAGCTGAGTCCTCACTGCTCGCTGGAGGAGCCGGTCCCAGGGCTGGGGACCGAGACACAGGGAGAAGCAGCAGGAATGAGAGAGACAGGGGGACAGATGGAGCCCCAGCTTGTCCCTGGTTCCCGTCATTCCTGAGACCAGCTCCGCACCCTCTGTGCCCGATATGCCGGAGTTACTGATATGTGTATTAGGTTTTTAAATTTATTATTATTATTTTTTGCTAATCAAGTTGGGTTTGGATGGCTCTTGTCCACGAGAACACTGACTGATACACACACCGAAGAGGGCGATTCTGTGAGTTCCTAGTTCTGGGACCTGAGAGAGTGGACGTCCCTCTGCCCAGCGAGGACACTGCTCTGAGTACCCAGCTCTGAAAAGGGACGGGAGGCCTTGCTGGGCCCAGCGTCAGCGCTGGCCTTCTGCCTCCCTCTCCTCCTCCTCCTCCTCCCGCATCCTGGCTCCCAAGCCCCCTGCACCCCCCACCTCAGGGCAGGGGCACCTCCCGAGGCCCCAGAGCAGCTCAGGTCTCCCGTGGGCGGCGGGGCCTCAGACACTACCTCAAGGCCAGGAAGGCAGTCGTAAAACCTGAGGAAATGATGTCGTCTCTCTTAGTACTGCTTAAATAAGGCTAATTAAGCCCTGGCTTGTGTGGCTCCGTGGGTTGGACATCATCCTGCAAACTTTCGTTTGCAGGTTCAATGCCCAGTCAGGGTACATGCCTGGGTTGGGGGCCAGGTCCCCCATAGGGGACACATGAGGGGCAACCACACATTGATGTTTCTCTCCCTCTCTTTCTCCCTCCTTTCCCCTCTCTCTAAAGATAAATAAAATCTTTTTTAAAAACAAGGTTAATTAAAACTGTCTGAGGGAGCCTGGCCCATGTGGTTTGCTTGGTCGGAGCGTCATCTTGTGCACCAAAAGGTTGTGGGTTCGTATCTCGTTCAGGGCATATGCCCAGGTTGCAGGTTCAATCCCCTGTTGGGATGCACAGAGGAGGCAATGTTTCTCTCTCACATTGATGTGTCTCTCTCTGTCTCAAATCATTGAAAATATCCTCAGGTGAGGATTTAAAAAAGAAAACTGTCTGGGGGGAAATAATGTTGTCTGTGTTAAATGGGGTCTTGAGAATAATCTTAATAACGAAAAATCCCTGCAGAAACCGGAGCTGCCCCAGTCAAACGTCTCGTGCACAGAAAGAGCACCCTGGGCCACCCCGCTGGGGACCGCGGCCCACAGTCCAGGGCTCCAGAGGCCTCCTCGGTGAATTGTTGGCTGGATCCCGCCCCCCCCGAAGAACCAGCCAGCCTCGGGTGACCCAGCAGCTCCGAGGAAGGTAAAGCCAGCGCCCAGCCGGCCCCCAGCTGGCTCCCGTGGGGGAGGGGCCGTCCGCAGTGCCACGCTTGTCCCAGTTTCTTCCCGTGGGCATGCCATGAGCTCCCCCGGTCTCTTCGGAGATACTATAGTTGAGTAGTTACTGTTACAACATCATCCAAGAGAATCCCCGGGGAGCGGACATCTGCTGTCTCAGTCCTGAACGCCCCCCAGCCCCACTTCTGGGAACTGCCCCTGGGTTCCAATAAAAACCGTCACCCAAAGCTTGCCTAACATGCCCACTGGCCGAGGAAAGGGAAAGATAGACACTGAATGAATTAGAGCTGGAATAGCACTTTCTAGCAAACGTGCCTCTGTTAGGAGCCCGGGGCAGAGGCCTGCATGCCCGTCGGTGGCTGTGGGCGAGGACGGTCCCTGCGTGCTGGACTTGGCGTGCCTTGCACCCAGGTGTCAGCAGACAGAGGTCAGGAAGTGGAGTGAGCTGGTGCGGGTCTTTCTTAGGAAAGCGCGACTTCTGCTTCCAGTGAGTTCCTCCTCACCGGCCTCTGCTTCTGAGCAGCTGTGTGACCGCACAGGAAGTTTACTGAGGGTGGGGGAAGCTGGTCAGTGCAGGGCCAATGAGAAGGGCCCCCTTACCAGGACCTGGGGCACTAGGCTCTTTCTTCCTGAGGTTGGACACGTCCTGAACGGCCTTTTCTTAATACATGAGGCTGAAGAAATGAGTTTCCAGCAGGACCCTCACCTATTCTCTGAAGCTTCTCTCTCTGTGTCTCGATTATCCACCTGCACTTGGCCTTGATCCTCCTGGCCGGGTCTGCTTATGTCCTTAGGGTAGACCCCTGCCTCCTGGGAGTTGGGGAGCAAAGTCTCCACCTAGAACAAGGGTCCCTCTGGGCACCACGCTGCCATCCCCCTGCTGGAAGGGCACTGTCTGTGGCCCTGAGCCCTCTCCATCCCAGCTCCTCATCTGCCGGTCACCTTTCCTCAAGCCTTTTCTGAGCTTAGGAACCCAGCGTCCATGGCCAGGTCCCTGCCTACTTCCTGCCACCCCCAACCAGGCTGAGGAATGAACCCTGTGTCGTCAGCACAGTGCCATGTCCAGGGCCAGTTCAGCACGGCCAGGACAGAAGGCGTCCTGTGTTCGGAGGTCAGTGTCAGTCCCCAGCAGGTGACGAGCTGTCCAGTGGTGAGCCCCAAGGATGACCTTTTGAGGAGTTAGGACCGAGGTTGCTGTCCCCGTGGAAAGCATGAGATTGGGGCCATGTCAGGTCTCTGTCCATTCATTCATTCATTCATTCATTCAACCAACAAGAGCAGCGCATACACCAGGTGTAGGCACCATTTCCGACACATGCTGACTATTGAGTGAGTGCAAGACCCTCTTGCTGTCTCCTTCTATAAATGCAGCTTGAAAGGCAAGATCCGGGTCTCACTGCAGCTGCCCTCCTTCCACCCCTGCAGAGGAAGGGTGCAGCTGACCAGGGGGCTTGCAGGCTCCCCTGTGGCAAGTCCCCTGGGGAGACAACTGGAAAGCGTAATTGGGGTTGAAGCAACCCCAAGATACCACCACACACCCGCCAGAATGGCTCAGATGCAAACCCGAATGTCCTCTGTGAAGTGGAGATGAGCCCAGCAGCTGCCTCATGGAGCGAGTGGTCAGGGGATAAAGAAGACCCTCAGCTCGCTCACAGCCCTCCATGCCCGGTGGGGTCCACGAAGCCGGCACCACCGGGGCTGTACGAGCTCTTCCAGGGGTGGAGGTGGGTGAGAGGGGTCCCCAAGTTCCGGGCAGTGGAACAGCTCCCTCAGGACGTCAGCTTCTGGCAGAGACCCAAGTTAACGTAAAATTGCCTGAAGGCAGACCACACGGGATCTGGAATCGTTAATAAAACGGGCTTGGAAAGGTGCCCGTCTGGTCTGGCCAGCAAAACGAAAAGCACACAGGGGAAAAAAATGCTGATGAGCCAAGGTGATTCCCAAGACAAGGCTGAGCTCACGGGAACCAGCTCCCTGCCTAGTTTGTACCTCGGTTCTGAGACATCAGCCACTTTCTCTTTAAGATTTGGACGGGTAGGCGAGGACCAAGCCTAAATCAAAGAGGAGCTTCTATTTCTCTCAGGTGGAAATGCTCAGTGGTGACGGCCCAGGGTGAGCCACCTGGGTCCCCATGAAGAGCCAGGGACAGAGTTTCCTGTGACCTGGCTCCATGCCTGGCACCAGGAATGGGACGAGAAAGGCAGCCTCTACGGCCAGTCCTCACTTCCCACCGTCAACCCTGAGCACAGAGCAGTGGCGCGCACGGCTGATCGTGAGCCTCCACTCAGTGAGTTCCCTCTCGGCACCAGTGGTGCCTCGGTGGAGCTGGCCTCACAGACATCGAGTGCGGCGCCTGGCCGGGAGCAGGAGCTGCTGCACCCACTGAATTCCGAGCCAGTAGCATCCTGCCCTGTGTACCCCGACCCCTACCCCCAAGTGTGACAACCAGAGAAACATCTCCCAACATTGCCAGTGTCCCCTGGGGGCAAGACCACCCTGGTGGGGAGCCACTGGTTTAGACACACAGTAGGTCCTCTGCCCCATCATCCGCATGGCCCCACCTCCCTCCTGCGGGTTCCGCCTGCTTCTAGGGAATCTGTCCTGATCGTAGCTCCAGTTTCCGATCTGCTGGTCGGCACAGCCACGGCGTTTTTCATTACAGTTATTTTATTTTCCGTTCCCAAATGTTCTACTGGACTGTTTTTCACATCTGCCTGGCTGGTTCTGAACCGTCTCTGAATGCTTTGTCACCCTTTCGGTGCCCTCTGATGTGTCTTTAAGCCCAGGAGACACCCTTTACATTCTTCATCAAGATCAGAAATCTCACATCAGAAATCTCTGGAGATTGAAATCTGTTGTTCGGTTCTGCTGCCTCCCCCTCATGGTGGCTCACGTCTTCTGCACTTGGAACCGGCGGGCTGGGGGCCCTTGGTCAGCTCGGTTTAATCTGTGGGTTGAGGTTGGGTCCCCGTAGAAGGCATTTGTGTTTGCTTCTGTGGGTCACCAAGGGGTGAGAGTCAGCTGGCAGCACTTTAACCTCCTTTTTCCCACTCAGGGTTTTCCTAACTCCGTGGAAATCTTAATCAGAGGACCACACTTAACGAGTCTCAAAGGATAGTCTATTAATATGATGACTGCCAGTAACTTTTTCTACTGGAAACTGCGATGGAGACAGTTGGTTTTTTTTTACATAATTTAAAAAAGTGTTATTGCTATTTTCCCATGACTATTGATCCTCCGTATACCCTCATCCACCTCCACCTGCCCCCTCCCTCCCACAGGGACCGGATTTCAGTGTTATTTGTGAACTATTTGCTCGCAGGCAGGTAATTCCCAGGCTACTGTCGTACTGAGGACAGAGACCCCCTTTCAGGACTCTGACCTAAAGTGACATTTCAGGTGCCACAACTCTCGCCACCTCCTGTCAACCTCTGAGTCTGTCACTCCCCCCAAATTCTGCGGTTCACCCCCGAGGTCTGGCCTCCCTATAGCGGGTCTTTGGCTCCGAAGTAGCTACATCTTCCTCTCTGGTTTCACCTTTATCTCCTGTGGGCTTTTAGTCGGTTGGTTTGGGCCTTGGGATGCCGCCGGGTTGGCTGGCGCAAGTCCCTGCCTACCCTTTGCGTCATGGTCTTGGCCTTGTGTTCAGCCTGCGGCTGCTCCTACCCCAGCGAGTGTGTAGCAAACAGTGATCTTCCCCTGACTTGGGACTTCCGAGAAAGACAGTTAGGCCTCCTCTCCCGAGAAACTGCCCAGAGCCCCAGCTACCAGCACCGGGAGCCCCCATCAACCGCGTGACCCTGATAATGGAGGACAGACCGCCCCTCTCCATCCTGGTGCCGCAGACGCATCCCCAGAACCACAGGTGTCTCCACTGCCCGTCACGTGACATCGCCGTTCCAAAGAGAAGATGAATGCTGATTAGAGCAATGCTGACGGAGCAAAGATGGGAAGGGACGAAACCCAATGCTGCCGTCACACCCTGACCACCAACTGGCAGAGATGGGGCGCGTCCCCACCTCGCGGACCTGACTGCGGGGACAGCGAAGGAGCACCTCGGAGGGGAGGGTGTTGTGACCGGGAATTGGGGTGATGGTGTGAGATGGGGAACGACCACGTTCTGTAGTTTTCACAGCAGAACTCGGAGAGCCATCTGCTTATCGGGTACAAAGACAAAGCTTGTAGCCAAGCTTATCAGCACTCTCTCAACCCAGCGCTGAAAGCTTTCTGTCACTGTTCCCTGTCTGAGCCTTTTGGTCACCACTGCCTCCTCTTTAAAAAAAAAACAAACTTTTATTGCTTTTTTTGAGGGGGAGGGAGAGGGAGAGAGAAACACTGGTTCACTGTTTCACTTATTCATGCACTTCTTGGTTGATTCTTATATGTGCCCTGACTGGGGATCGAACTTGCAACCTGGGCACATTTGGACAATGCTCTAACCACCGGAGCTACCTGGCCAGGGCACCTTTGCT